TCTTCTTTGTTCTTTTTGCATGTTTGTTTTCCTTTTTCGCCAATACCAAAAAGTTTGACAGTCGGCAGTAGATCGGACTGGCAGAGTTTAGATTGAGTACGTATTATCCAGAAAGTGTAGTACGCTGAAGGATGAAGCCACTAGCCTGGAGTTAATCTAATGCACTCTTGATTAGGCTTCTGAATTGTACATTTGATATGACAACCTCTGGTCTGCACTCCTACCAAACTGCACTTTTGTCATCTATGTGTCTATATTGTCCACCTTTAACCCCTTAAGGACACATGACATGTGTGATATGTCATGATTCCCTTTTATTCCAGAAGTTTGGTCCTTAAGGGGTTAAATAAAGAAGAAGAAAAAAAGTAGAAAATACATCAGATGATAATGTAGTATATCAAATACATAAAAAAGAAAAAGAAAAAAAAGTGCACTTACACTTTTCTGGAACTATAGCTACAACATATGCACTTGAGCAGTATAATCCCCACTTGTTCATAGTGTGGTTTCTTGCTTCTCTGTGGGTTAATCCTTATGTCTTATGGTAGAAGGTCTCATGGAAGAATAAGATGAGCTAGTGTAGCAGATCTGCAGCACTCATATATAATAGAACCCTACAGTGGCTCCTAAAGTGTAGGGTAGAGTGGTATGATTCCAACTGTTGGATACATAGGTGGTGCAGGTAATATTTTATAGATAGATAACAAGATAAAACAACATAGTGCACAACATATGTGAGAGTATAAAATCAAATATAAACTTGCTTAGAAAATGGTTTGCTCAACACTGTAGGCATAGGTGGTATAATTCCCCACCAAGGAAATGCTGTCCAGGTGATATGTAGCATTATAGAAAGGTCGAGGTTGGGGGAAGTACTTTATTTAAAAAAAAAAAAAAAAATTCAAGCAAAATATTTTTTTTTTTTTTACTCAATAACTAACTTTTACATTGGTTTGTCTGTTCTTTAAAAACAGACGAGTACAATTTCTAAGTCTGATTAAAGGGACACTATAGGCAAACAGATCACTTCAGCTCATTGAAGTGGTCTGGATGCAGTGTCCTCCAGTGACATTTAGTACTGCAATGTAAAACGTTGCAGTTTTTGAGAAACGACAAGGTTTACATTGCAGCACCGCACCAAGACGGCACTTCTAGGAGTTTACGGGACTCTAGGTCACCTGACGCTCGGGGTGTGAAATCGTCTGTGAAATCAATAAAAAAGGTTTGCGTGGATTTCATAAGTTTCAAAGATCTAAAGTGTATACGTTTCTTGCTAAAAGCATCTTCTAGAGTCCCTGATGCACTCTATAATAAAATATATTGGTTGTGTAAAGATTCTTGACTAATGCACAGACCATGTCATGGGGCATAATAGTAAATAGATTGAACATCACTAGTAACTAGAATGCAGCTTGTTTTCCCATTTTATGTGATTTAAAATTCAAAGGAGATATACTATGTTCAAGGTATGACTTAATATGTTGTGTACTGAGGCTGAAATAGACTTTCTATATACTTGGTTAGAGGAAATATTATAGAGTTAATACTGGAAAGAATTGGTTGTTCTGTCGGTTTTTTATTTTTTGCAAAAAAAAAAAAAAAGTGATACATTACTGGAATAGAGGGATGGACTTATTATATGAGAGTAATTGTTTTTGCTTAAGGTATTGGAATATTTACCTTTGTCTAAACATTTTACTTTCTCTGGTAGAGTCTGAATTTGCAGGGTTTTTTACTTTTTATTTTTTTTCTATGTACGTCATAGTTGTTTGTACACTTTATTCATATACATCTCTTTAGACCAGAGCTCTCTCACTTATCAGTGATGATCAGTTATGGTTTTATGACTATACAGCATTTAAGTCTTAAAATATATATGTATATCAATACCCATTTAAAATCAAAATTCTACCCATCCACATTAAAATATTTTTTAATCGAACAGTTGAAAAATGAGTCACATGGGACTTAAATCAAACAAAAACTATGACAAATAATCTCTATAAAAAGATTTTTTTTATATATACATATATATATAAAAAAAATCTTTTTAGATATATCTTTTTATATAAATATAAATCTTTTTAAAGAGATTATTTGTCAGTTTTTGTTTGATTTAAGTCCCATGTGACTCATTTTTCCACTGTTCGATTAAAAATTTTTTTTTAATGTGGAAGGGTAGAATTTTGATTTTAAATGGGTATTAATATACCTATTTAGCTGCATAGAGTGTATGAATGGGGAATAAAGGATTAAGTAAAGCACTTGCAAACATACTATTATCCTTCATGACAATGTAATTTTTATATACTACTAAGGATGTATAAGGCGCAACTCCCCATTTGTGTTGCTGTCTATATTCCATACTAGTGGCACCTACCATCGATTTATCACCTCTATTGTACATTGTTTTTTGTTCTCTTATTTGATATACAACAAATACAAGGAGCAGATAAAAAGGAGAGTGATTGGCAGTGGCTCGCAGTGATGTGAGCTGTTCATCTCACACTGAATCATCACTGGCTGAGTGTGTACTCTGGGTATGTCTGAAAAGGTCGCTTTGTGAATAGGGGGGAGTATTTGGCGTTACACTGCAGAAAGCTCCAAAAATGTTTTGAATATGTAAAAAAAAAACCAGCATGATCGTAAGGGCAAAACCTATCAAACGCACTTAACTTGTGTTGGTGTTTCGCGTGTTCTTTCAATTTGAGCAAAAGATGTATAACAGAATAGAGGGGGCAAACATAACAGAGAATGTGACGGCAGATAAGAACCATTCAGCCCATCTAGTCTGCCCAATTTTCTAAATACTTTCATTAGTCCCTAGTCTTATCTTATAGTTAGGATAACCTTATGCCTATCCCATGCACGCTTAAACTCCCTCACTGTGTTAAACTCTACCACTTCAGCTGGACGCCTATTCCCTGCATCCACTACCCTCTACTACTTCCTGATATTTTTAAACCTTTGTCACTCTAATTTAAGACTATGTCTTCTTGTTGTGGTAGTTTTTCGTCTTTTAAATAGTCTCCTCCTTTACTGTGTTGATTCCCTTTATGTATTTAAATGTTTCTATCATATCCCCCGTCTCGTCTTTCCTCCAAGCTATACATGTTAAGATCCTTTAATCTTTCCTTGTAAGTTTTATCCTGCAATGCATTAACCAGTTTAGTAGCCCTTCTCTGAACTCGTTCCAAAGTATCAATATCCTTCTGGAGATCCGGTCTCCAGTACTGCGTACAATACTCCAAGTGAGGTCTCACCAGTGTTCTGTACAATGGCATGAGCACTTCCCTCTTCCTACCTTTAAGTCATGTGAAATAATTTCTCCTAAATCCCTTTCCTCAGATGTTGAGGTTAGTAGGGCATCAAATATTCTGTACTCTGCCCTTGAGTTTTTCACCCAAGATGCATTATCTTGCACTTATCCACATTAAATGTCAGTTGCCACGGCTCTGACCATTTTTCTAATTTACCTAAATCATTTGCCATTTGGCTTATCCCTCCTGGAACATCAACCCTGTTGAAAATTTTAGTATAATCAGCCAAAAGACATATCTTACCATCAAGACCTTCTGCAAGATCACTAATAAAAATATTAAAGAGAATGGGTCCAAGTACAGATCCCTGAGGCACCCCACTGGTGACAAGCCCAAGCTTCGAATATACTCCGTTGACTACAACCCTCTGTTGCCTGTCACTCAGCCACTGCCTTACCCATTCAACAATGTTGGAAACCATTAAAGATTGCAGTTTAATGATGAGCCTTCTATGTGGAACAGTGTCAAAAGCCTGACTGAAATCTAGGTAAGCAATGTCTACTGCACCACCCTGATCTATTATTTTAGTTACCCAATAAAAAAAATTAAAAAAATCAATAAGAATAGTTTGGCATGATCTCCCTGAAGTAAACCCATGTTGTCTCTGATCTTGAAATCCATGTGATTTTAGATGTTCAACAATGCTATGCTTTAACATGGTTTCCATTACTTTCCTCACTACTGAAGTAAGGCTTACTGGGCTATAGTTGCCCGACTCCACCCTACTACCTTTTTTGTGAATGGGCACAACATTCGCTAACCTCCAATCTTCTGAGACTGCTCCTATTAACAATGATCGGTTAAATAACTTTGGATGTATTCCATCAGGTCCCATTGACTTATTTGTCTTTACTTTTGACAGTTGAAATAGAACCTCTTCCTCTGTAAACTACTCACATGTACCAAATTACCCATTTGTCCTTTTTCTTAACGGAAGTCCCTCTCCTTCATTTTCATCTGTAAATACTGAACAAAAATATTAATTGAGGCAGTGCTATTCTCTCTTCTGTGTGTGCTTTGGAGGCTCTTATAACTTGCTTAGCCTCTTTCTGCCTAATCTTATAGATCTGTCTGTCTTCCTCACTGTTTTTTTTCATAATTACTAAATGCTAACTTTTTTTTTTTTACCATTTTAGCCACTTCTGCAGAGTACCACAGTGGTTTCTTATTTTTTTCTGCTCTTCCTGACAAGCCTAATGGAATTTTCTGTTGCTTTCAGCAGGGCAACTTTTAAATATTCCACTTTCTCCTGGACTCCGTTTAAACTGCTCTGACAAGGACTCCTTTACGCATATTCTAATTTTAGAATATTCTGTTTTTCTAAAGTCTAAAACTTTTGTTTTTGTGTAGTGTGACTCAGTCACTTTTCTTATATTAAACCACACTGACTGATGATCACTGGATCCTAAACTTTCACCTACAGTAATATCTGATACTAAATCTCAATTTGTTAACACTAAATCTAGTATGGCCTCTTTACGAGTTGGTTCCTCAACAACTTGTTTTAGAGGCAATCCCAGTAGGAGTTTAAAGTATGTGTGTGCTCCTGGCACATATTCTGCTTTCTCCAGTAAGGGGAGAGACCTACCAACCATTCTGACTATGGCTGTATAAGTAGAATCTAGTCAAAGTAAATAAAATCAGTACATTATTTGGTACACAAAACAGTTACATGCTAAATCTAGAAAAAGAGACATTACTGTATGCTCTTTATTGTCATACTGGGGGCGGGGTGGGGGTTATTTACACACAAATCATTTAACACAAACCATTTGTTCTTTATTAGTCTCTTACAATATTACATGTTTTATTTTGCAATCCGCAAAGGGTTTCATTACTTTTGTACATTTATCATACATAGAAATTTTCAATCAAAAAAAAAAAAAAAGAATTTGATAAAATATACATGCCACAGCAGCTGAAAGATGTTTCTTTTTTTGCAAACTAGCAGAAAACTATAAAGTTTTGCCCTTCAGAAGTATAATATTGTACAACTACAGCAAGGAAAAAATTATTATACAGAGTGCAGATACCTTATTAAACATTTTTAATAAGGTGTGTCTTTTTCCACCTTCATAACTAACATTTTATGCTCGGACATCAAGTTATGGGGTTAAGATGGGGAGGGGAGAGGGGGGGTGGGCATCGGGGAACAGTGAGACTTTACTGAGCTGGGGCTGGACTTACACAGATACCATCGTAAGGTGTTATGTTTGTTTGCACGTCAATTAGCAGGTTGATCTAACAGATTTCAGACCAACCCAGGTCAAAGTGTTCTGAAGAAAGAGGGAAAAAAAAAATCCATTCAAATTTTTAAAAAAATAAAATAAAACCACACAAAATATCAAAACGCAAGTTGAAACCTGACAAAATAAAATGGAAAAACAAAACCCCACAAACGCAAGAACTTCAGGAGAAAAGAACTGTGATGATGGAGATTTAGACACATACTCATTCATCAAACTGAGTCTTGTGGAGAGGACATGAATAACACTTTTTTTGCATTCTGAGGTTTTTAACAGACGCATTTTTGCACATATCAATGTGCATCTGTCCTGTTTAAGTGCCAACACCCAGTAGGAAATTCAAGCTGTCTTTGTGTCCCTTTCATGAGCCATGGCTGGGTGGGTGTTGCAGGTCTTGGCCGGAGAAGATAGGATGTAGTAAGGGATGCAGGTGCAGAGCTGTGGCGGCAGCAGCACTGGTTGGTCGAGGAGCAAGTAAAGTAGGGTAAAGTGCATGTGGTACATGGTGGAGAGTAAGGGGCCCTGCATGATGGAGAGCAGAAGCAGGTATGATGTGTATGGGATGGCTAGCAAGGAATGCTGCAGGGTGAGCTGGGATGAGGGAGTGAGTGAGGTGAGACAGGGAGATGGGAGCCAAGTGCGGTTGGTGGATGTGGTGCATCTGTGCTAAGGCCTGGTGGTGAGGTGGGATACCCATAGCTGCTGCAGCTGCAGCATGCTGCAGAATTGCATGCTGGACAGTAGTGATTGAAGTGGCCGTTTGTGGGGGTGGTGCTTGTTGGATGTGAATTTGCTGCAGAGCTTGTGTGGCAGGTTGCATTGCTTGCGGTATAGCTCCTGCAGGAAAACTCTTCACTTGCTTGGCCATCAGTTGCTGCTGAATATGCTGCTGTGCAGCTTGCTGCAACTTGCTATACTTCTCCATCTCCTCTGGGGTGAATGTGATGGGCTGACTTTCTAAAGGAGCCAGGGACCCATCGTCGTCATCTTCCTCTTCCTCTTCTTCATCCTCCCCTTCTGGCCGCACAGCACCTGGATCTACTGCAATAGCTGGATAAGGTGCAGGGTGAAAGAACTCTGCATCAGTTGGTGGGGGTATCAATCTCCCATGATGAGGAGGAAAGGGTATACCCAGAGGCTGTGGCCCAGGGCTGTCTTCAATAACCGGGGGAAGAGGTTCAAAACACACTGGTGCTTCGGGAGCTAGCTGCTCTGCAGTAGACACAGGAGGTTCTGGTATCAAAGCAGTGTCTTCAGGCAATGCCTTCTCTTGCTGCTCGGGCAACACATCCAGTAAACTTGCCACAACTGGTGCATCATTTTCAGTTTTACGAGGTCCTCCAACTCTGTTTCCAGCTGGAAGCTTACCAATCATGGGCAACTGAGGTGGTTTTGTGCCAAGGACAGGGGGGAGTTTAGGGCCAAAGTATCCCTGAGGGGGGTCTTTTACTTTCCCACCAACTTTAGTAACAGGGCTGCAATCATCTCCAGTTCCTCCAGCTTTTTCTAGCCTCCTTGACTGTATTTTCTCTAACAGCTGCCTGGCTGTTAAGGAAGATCTGCCTACATCTTTTTCAGTGCTACGGCGAGAGAGGATTGAGCTGCTACCTCCTCTTGTCTCAGATCCCCGGCTTTCCTCCCTCCGGCTCCCTGAGCGACTGTAGTGAGGGGACTGTGAACGATAAATTTTGGAACGGTTAAAATCCCGTCTACCACCTCTACGGCTGTCCACACTATCTCTCCCATGTGATCCTTTTCCAGAGTGGCTACGAGCACTTGTACTCCGGTCTCTACTGTAGCTCCTGCTACGTTTCCAGCTGTGGCCAGTCAGGCTGCGACTTCGTCTTTTGCTGCGACTACGACTACTGCTGCTCGACCGCCCTCTGCCCCGACTTCTGCTGCCCCTAGAGCGACTTCTACTCCGCGACCTGCTTCGGCTGTATTCAGAAGAGGAATATTTATGGCGTGTTGAACGTCTCTTGGAAGCTGCAGAGTCCGAGTCTGAGCCTGGTGAGCGCTTTGACCTCCGCCTTGATCCACTGCTATAATCACTGTAGTCACTGTCTGAATAACTTCGGTTGCGGCTGTAACGGCTTCGATCAGAGGAGCCACCAGAACTTGAAGAGTAGGATCGCTGCCTCTTTCCTGACCTTGAACGGCTTCTCGAGTGGTCAGTTGTAGAATCATAGTCATCACTATATCGTGATGTGGATTTCTTCCTGCTTGGGGAGGCATCATCCTCGCTATCATAGTCCACGCTGCTATGCCGGCTCCTAGCCTTGGCAGTTGTGTGTCTGTGTGAGGAAGAGGATGGAGCAGTGGAAGAGGGGTGTGATGGTGCTGGTTTGGGTTCTGCTTTGGACTTTTTGTTCTCAGGCTCTTTGGAAGAAACCGGTGTGTCTTGTTTGGAGCTGGGGGGAACACAAGTAGCAGTTTCTTCTTTACTAAGTGACTTACGATGTGCGGATTCTCTGGTATGTGTTCCCACCACTGCAGGCACTCCTGACTCAACGTCCTCTACTTTCACCGATCCTTTGGAAGCACATTTAGACTTCTTGTGCTTATGCTTTTTTCTTTTCTTATTTTTTTGACCTACTTCCTCTTCTCCATCTTTGTGTTTCCGTTTCCGCTTATTACTTTTCTTGTGCTTTTTCTTTTTCTTGTGCTTGTGCGCCTTCCCAGCAGTTTCTCCTTTGCTCTCTTCTTCAAGAGACTCTGGCTTGCTGTCTGCCGAGACAACAGTGGGATTTTTGGTTTGCAATCCACATGTGTGGACTACTGTGCTGCCTTCTTTATTTATGGTACTATCAAGCTGTTTAGCTGGTTCAGAAAAAAGCTGGCTTTCCTTGTTTGGCCCTGTGTTATCCTTAGGCTTTTCAACGCCTTTGCCTTTCACATCTTTATTTCTGGAAAGTTTGAAGTCAAAATATAAAGGATTGCAGCTGTAAGAAACAGAAGGCTCTGCTTGCGTAAAAATTAAGAGCTCAGATGGCCACTGCAGGGTTGTACTCTCATCCTTACTTAAAACTGGGAAAAATGGTCCAGTTTGATGTTTGGGCTTCTCAGACTGTTCTTTTTCAGGCGTGGAGGATTCTTTTTTTGGCTCCTCGCTTGAAGTGTGAGGTTTCTCAGATTCTCCAGCAGTGTCCTTTTTCTCAGCTTTAGCCGGTTTTGGCAAAGTATTGTTGTCCTTCACCTGGGATCCTCCCACTTTCCCCTCACAAACTGTATTCTTCCCCACCTTGTTCTCAGTTTTCGCTTTCTCAGCTTTAGGCTTAGTGGTGGAAGGTACCTTTTTCTCTTCTTTTGGTGTCCCATTCTCTGCTTGAGTTTGCTCTGTAGACCTCATAAAGAGTAAGAACTGGAAGTTGGGCTTGACTTTACAATGAGCAGGGGGCATATAGTGATAATACTCTGGTTCCCCTGCTTGTGCTCCCCTCTCCTCACGTTTCATCTTCTTCAGTTTGGATAAAGTGCTCACAAGGGAAGCTCCATCATCTACCGGATTCTCCTCTTCCTCCATTTTGCTTTCACTTTCTGTGCTGCACTCTCCCTCCACAGCCTTAAGAGCATTTATGAAATCAGGTGGTGCTTTCTCTTCCTCCTTTTCCTCCTCTGCCGACCCAATCTCTTCACCAACATCTTTGAATACGGCAGCTGAAGATTCTAACTTAAGTGGAGTTTTCTTAGCGAAGGAGAATGAAAACCCCACCTTCTGGAGGGATGATGATGTGCTAACTGAGTTTTTAAAGCCAAAGCTAATGGCTGGGGCAGAAGGAGGAGTGGATGCAGAAGTAGATGGTTGAGGAACCCTGTCTTCCTGTACAGACTTTGGACTGTCTTGGGGAATAGGAATTGAGCAACTGGGTGCATCCTCATCTTCAAAACCTTCCTCGTCCACAGCAACGGTGGTAGGTTTGAACATCGGTCCACTGCCTGGAGCACTGCTGCAAGGTTAGAAGAGAATGTTTTGTTAAACATAATGAGGTGGCAAAAAAAATAAAGCAAAAACACCGTTCAAAACACTCGGCATAAACTGCCATAGGCCAGCTCTACAATCTGGTGTGCACCGAGGTTTAGATCGCTTGTACTATGCAAGAATAAATATTTCCATGCAACTAAGGCAAATGGAGCCTTGCAACTCCCTCAGGGACCAATGATAAAGGCACAAAGTGTAGCAAAACAAATAAGGTGTTGCTTTTAAACAAACAGTGATATATACAACTTAAGATTCCAGACTTTCTGAGCATTGTAATTTTTAAATTTTTTTTTTACAGTATTTTGTGGCTTTTGTGAATTGTATGATAGTTCACACGGATAGCTTGGCTGAGCATAAGAAACTGATCAACAACATTGGTTGGCAGATGCATCAAAGCTTATTTAATCAATGCCTTAAAGGGACTCTCCAGTGCCAGGAAAACAGAGGCACTGCAGGACCCTGTAGTTCCCTCTCCCTCACACTCCCCATCCCATGTTGCTGACATCAGCCGTCGGGGGAGACCTATTGCGCAATGGCCGTGCGCGCATATTGGACCTCTCCATAAGAAAGCATTAGTCAATGCTTTCCTATGGGGGTTCTGGCGATGCTGGAGGTCCTCATGCATAGCATGAGGACGTCCAGAGTCGTTTAAAGCACTTTTCGTGTTCTTAGAACCCGGAAGTCTGTCTAGTAGCTGTCTGATAGACAGCCACTACAGGAGGACTTAACCCTGCAAGGTAATTATTGCAGTTTATAAAAAAAACTGCAATAATTACATTTGCAGGGTTAAGGGTGATAGGAGTTGGCACCCAGACCACTCCAATGGGCAGAAGTGGTCTGGGTGCCTGGAGTGTCCCTTTAACTCACTTGTTTTGCATATATAGTTATTTTTGGTTTTCCTTTGATAAAGGTTATTTTCACTATATCAAATCAATCTCAGTCTCCATACGACAATCCCTCTACATATCTCTGAGCTGAAAACTCCTAACCTCAAGGATTACAATGCAAACCGGTCTTAACATTTGGCATTACTCCAATTTTATTACCACCCTATCCACAAGTAATGAGAATGAACGTTGTAACCTGACTGATCAAGGACTTTGGTGCAGAGCCATCTCCTGGTATAAGGCTACTTTGTTGCAGTGTGAATTTGAATATAAACCTACTAATGAAAACTGATTGCTACTTTGTAGGAGGTTATTGTATAATAGTGCCTTGCTGCATTTAGGAAGCGTGGCTTATTAAACACTATAGGGAGACTATAGTCACCAGAACAACTACAGCTTAATGTGGTTATTGTGGCGAGTATAATAGCTCCCTTCATGCATTTTCATGTAAACACTGCCCTTTCAGAGAAAAGGCAGTGTTTACATTGCTGCTAGGGACAACTCTAAGTGGCCACTGGAGGTGCTTCCTAGCTCAAGGATGCACAGTAAGCAGCCCTGCCGTTCAGTTTTCACTATAGGGTCAGGAATACAGGTTTGTGTTCCTGACCCGATTGTGATACTTTAAAGATACTTGTGCACACTGTATTCAGTTTTTTTCAGATCTCCCTGTTGTACAGCGCTGTGGAATTTGTTGGCACTTTATGAATAATTAGTTTTAGCTTTTTTGTCCTAACACGTGTTGCGCTACGTCATTTGTTGCGTGATTTACAGTTTACTGTCATAGGTGTTCATTGCCCTACAAAAGGATCTCTGTTTATTGTTCTGTTTTCCTCTAAAAGACAATTAATATCAGTAGACAATAGTGCAAATAAGTCCCATTTTAATGATGTTTATAGATGGTGCATCAAAACAATAAGGCTGTTTGATTTTCCTACCAACCAAAGTTATGAATGCCAGTTTTAAAAAAAAAAAACAACTGGAGTTTGTTCATTTTTTTTAACCAGATATACAGTATCTGTTTCTCCTGTCCTACAATATTTTATTTCCTAAAAATATGCAGTATTATCAAATGCCATACAACTGTCTTTCTACGTCTACTGAAATGCTTGCCCTAGCGGTTGTGACATGTCACGCCTGTTTGCAATATCTATGCACAACTAAAATAAAGAAAATTAAAATACAGTATTAAATTGTTGCAAATAATATTAAGGAAATGTATCCAATTTGTAGCATATCTGCGACAATTTAACTATGTCCATATCAAATGTCATTCTTTTTATAACGGTCATACGTATAAAAGTTAGGTTTTAAATTTAAAGGGTAAACATAAGCCTAGCAGTGGCCCCTACTTACTTTTCTGCTTGCTTCCTCTGTTCTGCCAGTTCAAGAAGACGCCTCAGTGCTTTCTCCTGCTTCCGTTCATCCTTCCGGGAGCGAGAGGAGACATTACGGGCAAACTCTCTCTGCTTCAGGTCTTTTAACCTCTGCAAAGGAGAAGCAAAGCATATTATATTTAATTATACACATACACAGAGCTTAACATTTTTCACTCATCAATAATCATTAATAAGATTCAGCCCGTGCAAGTAAAAGTTTACACCTTGTAACCCAATAAAAACTGCATTTGGGGGGTGTCTGGGCTTTCTTTAGTGTTTGAAAAAAGGACAGAATCCATGATATTCTCTCCCTACAAAGAAGTAGGGTAGGCCATAGATTAACAGTTGGTTTTCAAACACAAGGTGCTTAGATATGGCTTAAGAATACGGTCATATTAAAAAGGTAGGAATTAGGTTTGAGATATACTACATTAAAAAGAAATGCCTTTCAAAACACGATGAAAGTATTATATTAAAAATAGTTTTGAGGCGACCGTTGTCCTTCAAGGGTTAATAAGTGTCTGGGGCAGGTATAGGCAACCTTCGGCACTCCAGATGTTTTGGACTATATAACATCTGGAGTGCTGAAGGTTGCCTATCCCTGGTCTAGGGTTTCATAAGAATACATCTTTCTGTCTCAGAAATGTTGTCTTTTAGCTGAAAGCAGCATGGCTACTTGTTCGTGTAGGACTCACCAAAGAGGCTTGCCATGACTTGACAGGTGAGCTTACACTTTAATGGCGGATGAAATGGCTCTGCTTTTCTGAGCTCACCTAGCATAAGACACACCTATAATCTATGCCACTGCAACTGGACAGGATAGTGTCAAGGGGAATAAGAAGCATTTGTAAAATTAGATTAGTTTGATAGAGTATTGGTTTGATACGAACATTCAGTTTAATTTTAATCCTGGAATTCCAGGATGGCGCGTGGCAATATTCTCTCTGTATGGAGTACAGAATGGATTGTGAGTGACATGGTAGTTATTATGAGGAGACTGGAAGTCTGATGGTATCAATGGATCTCTTGAAACCCTAATGGTGTGTATGTCTGCCAGGGACTGACAAAGTCACTGTAGGATTGGGTGTCAGAAAACATGATAGCCAGGAGACCAAGTTTCAGAAGAGGAAACGGGACATGCAGAGTTTCACATAACCAGATCGCTAATTCCGATTGCAGTTCAGCATGAAAGCAGCAGATGGCAGTGCATTCCCTTCAATTGCTATGTTGTCTATTACATTGTAAGATTAATTTTGTGATTGACCTTTTCAACTTGTCAAAAAAATAACAAATTTGAAAAAATGGCTAGCCCTTTCAACTTGGCCAGTGATAGCAAATGTGTTTAGAAACCCCCCGGTCCATGGCATGATAATATGTCATTAAGATATAGTCCTCAAATGCAAAAATAAAAATCACTATTAGGTGGACATACACCCAGCGAAAACCTGCATGCATTAAATTATGCATTTTTGTAATTGGGGTATATCTGAGACCAGCTTGCAAAACCTGCAGATCTTGTCTGCAACCTTTGCAAGCCCTCTCCTAACCCTGCCAAGACTTTGTGGCTCTCCAATCACAACCTTCCTAATGCAGCTTAACCTTTCCTAACCCCGCCCAAACTTCCTATGGCTGTCCAATCACAGCCTTCCTAATGCAGCTTAATGAGAAGTCTTTGCAAGGCAAGTGCTCTGGGCAATTGCTGCCTCTTGAGCTAAACAAACCAGTATCCTTTAATACATGGGTAGATACCGTGTAGCACCTCAAGTTGTTTTGGAATCACAACTCCAATAATACTTTGCGAGCCTACGTACGAAAGAGGGTGGGAATAGAAGGAAGACAACAATGACAGGACGGGTATTTGGTTATGTCATGGTGTCTCAATCTGTCGCCTCTTTCAGGTATCTGCCCCCTCTATGGCTACTAGGACAGCAACATGTTGTGTGACTTTGCAAGTTAGCAATTGGAGAGTTAGTTGTAACAAAATCTTTAAACAACAGCACACAGTCATAAACCGTACACTTCACACTCTCCAGCTTTCCAAGAATCAGAAAGTCATGTGAATATCTTATTACCTGTTTGTGAGCATGGTCATACGAGTTTATGTGGTTGTCGAATTCTTGGTGTTTTTGATACTGCTTATCACAAAGCTCGCAGTAAAAGTTGGCTCGTAGCTCTTCCAATGCCTTGGCTATAGCCTTCTCTTTGTCCACAAATTCCTGCATTAGATGTGCAAAGTTTTTAGTTTTGTTATTTTGTAAGACAAAGCACAGAAAGACATCTGGTCATTACTGGACTACAATGTGCTCAACGTCCTGTCATTGATAAAGGACTAGAATGTACAAGTACTAGAAAGGCATAATTGTGTCTATTGCTCCAAAACTACTAAATTGGCTTCACATAGATTACATTAGAAGAGAAAATATACTTTATTTACATTTAATATTTGGCATTCTAAAATTATAGCACTTGTTACTGAGCATAATGCTGAAGGGCAATGTCTATTTTAGATATATTTGCTGGCCTAATAAAAGCTTAAATAATTAAAATCACCTTGTATTTCTGTCTCAGCTCCTCTGTGTCTTCTTTCTCCACTTCCAAAACACGCCGGCGCTCCGTAGCATCCTCTGCATAGTCAAGCTAAGGAAATAAGAACATTGAATCGATCCTGCAGTCACAAGAACCCATCAGATTTATCCGTAAAAAAACAAAACAAAAAAACCATCCTCATTCTGAATATTGCAAGATTCACATTTCTCACTCTCCAATAATACCACTTACAGTGGATGAGAACTCGTGAACTTACTGATTGCTAAGGTGGCTTCCTATCACAGTACCACGCTTAAATTCACTGAGATCTTCAGAACCACCCATTATTTTTCACACGTTTGTAAATGCAGACTGCATGGCTAGGTGCTTAATTTCATACACCTGTGGCAATGGGTCTGATTGAGAGGACAGCCAACCACTCAGCTTTAACGCTGTGTTGTAGAAGTGTGGAATCGGCCACATCCTCCACCTCTAGTAGGCTGATAAGACACAGCCAAGGTGATCAAGACATCAAGTAATTAAGGGTCTCTCTTTATACCCGTGGTTATAAAACGGTTGCTTAAAATAGCCAGATTACTGTAATATTAGCTTCCATTATAGTTAAAGCTGAGGAGCCTACGCAGCCCACATCTTGCTCGCTCGATGGTCAGGCCCCGTGCCGTTATTTTTATTTTTTTAATGAAATTCCTCCTTCAACTCAGCACAGATTTAAATTATAAAAATGCTGCTGTGTTCTAGAGTTACAGGGCCCCTGGATCTTCACAACTGACAAATTCTTAAGACTGTGTCAACTTAAACCCAACAAATTGACAGCCCAGCCAGAAAAAAAAGCTGAGGTGAAAGATAATAACCTCATGAAAATGCAACATTGTTGGGTGTTCCAAACCTGTAAACACTATTTTAGGGCTGGTAATCAAATATTGTAACTATAGCATTTAGTGGCTAATAAAGACATCTGACTACCCCCAGAAAGCTAATCAGAAGGGAATCTCCACCTAAGCACAAAATCAAAAGGCCATTAACAAGCCATTTGTTCAGCCGCCAACATTTCGACCTTCGAGGTGCTTACCAAGCTGAACTTTGCTCAATAAAGGCCACAAAGTGTCAAATGTTGCCTTTAGTGGTGCCGGAATAAAAGTCTCATTAAAAACTAACACAACATTACATTTGTTTATTTTACTACTTCTGGACTGAATACGAATATTTTGATGCCCAAGAAGACTGGCAAATAGTCTGGATGGTTCAGGAATTAGAATATAAATCTCTTTGATGGATAAAAACCAGTTCTAATACGGAAGATCAATAGATTATTGAACCTACCTCCATCTCCATGCGCCCCATCCCCATGACGTCATATTTGACCACGATTGGTATTGGGTCGGTCCTACCTGCAAGACGAACAGATGGTGTTGTTGGTGAGTTAGTAAAAATAGGTGCCAGTAGGATGTTAACATAGTGGGTTTGGGCGGTTAGAAAATCTTGCCTTGGAGTGCAGAGACCAGAAAGCTACAGTGGACCAAACATGAGTCATTCTCACAGCTTATACCATTTAGAGAACAGCTATAAGACCCACAGTCCTTGTTTTTGTTTTGTTTTATTTCATTTACAGACAGGAAATGTCTACTTGTCTTTTCCACTGTAAAATCTCACAGTAAACCCAAATAATGTATTAGAATTCCAAAATGAAATAGCACTAACAAGAGCCAGTGATTTGCAAACTAAAAATGCTATGAAAACACCAAATCCAACATGTATATAAAAAAATAAGGTGTACAGGGGATCAAACACAGGGTTACGTAAGTTGTGGCCCATCAGCTGTTGGTCAAATCTTCCTTCAACTGTGCCATAGAAAAAAGCTGGAGGACCAGTGCCTTTCAAAGCTCAATGTAGAGCAAAAAGTGGTTAAAAAGCATAGTAATTATAAAGTATAGTAAACAGAAGGGGAGGAGGCCTATTAGAACTCAAACATTGCAACACTATGCGCAGAGCACGACAAGTGTTTAAACACCAAGGACAGTTTTAGTTAGCCTTTGAAATGCTGCATTAACATATGTAATATTTATCTGTAGGATCTATTTTTTCTGTATTTTAATTTTCCATTAAACAAAATAAGAGGCCAAGGATTATTGGATCAGATCATGGTATGGTCAGTAAGCTGTGAAAAAGACTAGATGCAAATAAAAAGAATTGACTCAACTAAATCAATCTAGCAGCAGATTTGAATTTACTTGTATACATTTTTTTGAACGCATCAAAGAGTATCCAGAAACCACTCAGAACCAGCCAAAAGCATGGGATGGGAGGAGGGAAAAGGCAAGGAGAGGGAGAAAAAAGATAAGGAAGTAGGCAACAAGCATGTCACTACAGCAGCTGATTCTCTGGACTAGTGCGGCTCCATCATTTGTTACATCAGCTCATAGAAAGGGGCAGACCACTGGGCATTTGGCCTGGGTAGAACACAGGAAGGGAAACTTACCCATTACTCACCTTCATTCGAAAACAGTAGGTTAAAATGTGGTATTTTCTCCAACTATGTGTGTGGTACACACCTGGAAATTATACCATTGGGCTTAGTCTTCTACAGAAAAACAAAGCCCCAGTCCTATTTCAGAGCATGTGCAAAACAAAAGCTATCATGGTATCTTTAGTTTGCCCAGCAGTTCTTGTTATGGGTTATTTCAACAACACAGTTCTCATCCCTGGGGATTCTCCTTTCTGCGTTTACACCGTTAAATAACCTTAAAGTGTTACTCCAAGCACAATGACCAGTATTTTGAGGTGCTAATCTTGCCTAGAGTTAGTCAGTGCAGTGTTTCACATTAAAACGCTTCTCATACAGAGTTTAACCCCTCTGTAAATTTTATATCTCTGGCAGCAGAGGATTTAAATGGTTCCAGGATGGCTAAGGACAATTCTGTGAATATTTCTATGCCAAGTTCTCCAATGAACTGACTGCCAGCTTAGGCATCTCTGTAAAAACCAGATGTAGTCACTGAAGGACCTTTGGTGCTTGGCATGAACCCAAATAATAGGACAAAAGGTTGCAAAATGGTTTACCCCATTAACAGAAAACTGAGTCAGGGTACACCTGGCATCAATCACTACAGAGGGCTGTAGTGGCTATGATGCCTGGAAATACACTTTCAAGTGATGTTTTGTGTTGCGTTAAAAAAAATTGAAAAAAATAATTCCTAGCACTATATGTGTATTTAGATAGAACAATTCTGGCACATGGTTTGAAAGTAAAGCAACTAGCTTGTTTCCTTGGTGACTGTTTTATTGGGAGAACCAGAATTGCCATTTATACAAAACAATGGTGTTCAAGGCCTTTACAAATAATTATGAAAATAAAAACAATTGCATTAGCTTTGCCATTAACAAAAATTATATTGCTATCTGGCAATTATTAAAAGAAAAAATGAAGTAAAGGAGAGTACAGGTATATATGCTTGGGGTGTACATGCAGCATATGTCTAGTAAGATTTTAAGAACCCGATGAAGGTAAAAACAATTTGGACTTTCACATTTCTTATATTCAAGTGTGGCTTTGTCCTAAAAGGTTGGGAATCACTACTCGTGTTTACTACAACAATTTCTAGGTATGTTGAATATCTCTTTGCGGTCAGTAGTGATTCCTCTGTGAGGGTTGCCCTGTTGCTATCAGATTGCTTAGACAATAGACGTCACATGTTCATACTGCAATGACCCGAGGAAGAACTGCTGGGAAACCAGACTATATACGATAAATAGATTGAATGCTCTAGCTAGCTCATGGAGAAGAAAAAAAAATGTATATATCAAGAATTAATTAAGAATCCGATTACAAAGGATTTGAGATCTGTAGAACAAAATAGTGCTGGGGCTTAATCACAAAGTCTACTTCAAGATTTAAAATGATTTAAAATGGTCACAAAAACAAACCAAGGACAACAAAAATCTAAAATAACTTACCATGGCCTTTCAGAAGCCTGTTAAAGGGTATTTGTTACAGTTTTGTTGCCCTTGCATTTGCAAGAAACCCAAGAACACACTTAATCTAAGACTTTAAAATGTAGTGTAATGAATAAAAATTACTCTGTAAAGCCCAATGGCATAATTGAATAAGCAATGGCTATGTTATGAGGAAAAGGACTGAATGAGTAGTTTTGTTTAAAATATGATTTTGCAATACTGATTTGAACGAGCTGTGGCAGGCTTTACGATAATGCTTTGTTTGCAACACAAACATTTTTCACATATTACCATATACCAATCCTTGTATTCTCTGTCTTTGGGAAAGGACGACAGATTAGCTTGACCTTTATTATTGTTTCACCATTTTACGGTCTAATATTTGTAAATTAATATGTTAAAAAAACAAAACAAACACTCTGTCCTTTTCCACTAACTGCAAGCCACTCCTGCATCTTATTACCCATATACAGAAAACCAGTGTAGTCAATCGCTTAGCGCAAACAAAATATAAAGTAAAATAAATAAATCACATTTGAATGGTGTTAGAATTTTCAGCTGATTTATCATTCTTATATTTCAAAGTGCTTTGACTAAATGTTGAAAGACTGAAGGAAGAGGGAAGGGAGGATAGGTGGGGAAGGGCAGGCTGCACTGTATGAAAACACAAACAAAAATGCCCCATTGACATGTTCCATTTAATGGACGAGGATCAGACAACGTGTGCATGGAGAGAGATAGAGGAAGGACGGTCCAAGCAGTATATGACGCTACGACAGAACAGAAAGAGAAGGAAGCCTAACATTGGTGCACTGATGACAAGAGGTAGTCAGTCTGAACAGAAAATTTAAAATTACCACAGCTAAGTTTACCATCACCACAACAAGTCCCGGGGTATTATGCTGTAAAAAAGAAACACGGTTGGTTAGGTAGCGATCACGAGGTGTAGGATGGGAGGTGGCGAGTAGGAATAACAGGCTTCTTCAGGGAAAGGGGTGGACTTTGGTCAGCGTTCATGCTGATCAAGGAGGGTAGGAAAGACGGGAAGGTTGAAATGGGTAGAGATGTGGAGCAAAGGATAGAAACCTTTTCTAAAAGTCAGTGAGATAATTCCCTAGACATTATAGCCAAGCCTGTGCTACGGAAGAGGCCTTCAACTCCACAACTTCATGTTTCAGGCAAGTACAAGAGTTGGAAAAAAAGAGGATGAGAAAAAAAAAAAAAAGAAAGAAAAATTTTGTCTGGCGTATGTACATCTATTATGATAAAAAATATTAAAAAGTCTGACTTTTCAGGCACCATGGAGGAATGGACTCAAATTACTAGTGAACTTCTTTCTACTCTGCTAAATTTCTCTTTCAGTGATTCATGTCTAAACTATATGAAGACTACCATCTTACATCCATTTATGAACTAAATACATTTTTTACATTTTGAATAAGCCAAGTATCTCTCAATAATGAAACATCAGCAAACGGTGGAGATTAACTAATATTCAAAAATATGTCAGAAGATCAAGGTGGAAGTAATCATAATGAATCAGCTAATTTTTGAGGTGACTACATTTAAACTTCATAATATACTCTACCTCGATAGAGACATCAGCCAATTAAAGTGTCCAGTGTATCCCAGCTTTCAAACGTCACATAGCAAGTGCCTTACGAATTACAATTTAACTCTATGATAATAAAATGTACCTTTCATCACTTCAGTGAATAAAAGTAAGCAAATGTAAGGAAGTTTCTTACAAATGTGTACGTATTAAGATTTTTCCAATCCTTCACAACAGACAGGGCCATAACCGCAATATAGGTTTAATCTATATTACTGTATGTATAATGAAACAGAATGTTTGAAACTCTGTGTATCAAACTTCGGATGGAGTGACTCTTATTTAGCATCAGTATCATTAGCTTGAAGTATACTTCAGATGCCTTGGTTTGCAAAAGAGAATATGAAGAAGCCTTGTGGTTCTCAGTTTGTGTAATACAATATTTAGTTATGCCTTAATGGAAGTCTTGAATTGTATGTGCTCAAGTGTGTCATGTGAAATTACACCCTCACCAAAGCAGTTTTGAATAGTGTACAAGTAACTGTTGTACAGCTGGAAGCAACATGGACTAAGATAAGTAACTCTACTCCAGGGTGGAAACGCAAAACTGCTCTTAATATCCTTTTTGAAGAGATGAGTTACTTTCAACTAATGAATAATACACACAATGCAGGAATTGGTATATCCTGTCTTTCAGATGCTTACCATTAGAAAACACATGCAAAAAAGACATAAAAGACCCAACTGCTAAAATGTATTGTATGTGCTTATTAAATTGACATTGCCTAGAATACAAATGATCGTAACGTAACAAGCCAATTAGATAAATCTGAAATTTAGCTTATATTTACTTTCATTTGTTCCCTTTTAGAATTCATTTATTTAAATCACATGTTGATTTAGGTCATTTGTGTTACATTATGGTCTTTACTGCTACAATATTACTCAGTATATTTTCTGTACTATCTTCCATTTTAGTGTTTCACAAAGGTTAAATTAGCTTTTTAATAAACTGGTCCTTATACACCTTTAAACACACTTATGTGAGGTAGTGCCTGCAAAATAGTACCTGGAGTATCCTAAAGGGACACTATAGCCACCAAAACCATTTTAGCTTAATGAAGCAGTTTTTGTGAATAGATCATGCCCGTGTAGTCTCACTGCTCAATTTTCTGCCATTTAGAAGTTAATTTATTTCTGTTTATACAATCCTAGCCACACCTCCCCTGGCTGTGACACAGCTTGCATGGGAAAAAATGGATTCGGTTTTTAATCAGATGTTAACTTGCTTTATAAGTTTTTATGTCATGCTCTGTAAATTGAACTTTAAACACGCACAGGAGGTTCCTGCAAGTTCTACAAGACTATTAACAGAGCAGGAGATACATTCTAAATTAAACAATGTGCAACATAGGATATTTAAACATTAGATCTCTATTTTTTAGCAGTGTTTAGGAAGGCTGTGCAAGTCACATGCAGGGAGGTGTGCTAGAGCTGTATAAACAAAGTGATTTAACTCCTAAATGGCAGAGAGTTAAGCAGTGAGACAGCAGAGGCATGATCTATACACCAAAACTGATTCATTAAGGCTAAAGTTGTTTTGGTGACAAGAGTGTCCGTTTAAGGTCAAAATAGCTGAACTGCCAAAATTCTCTAAGTAAGCTTTGTGTTCAGGTTGACTACTCTGGTCTTAACTTTGATATTCCCTTTAGTAAATAATCCTGTAAGCATCATGGACACTAAAGGCTGTCTATTGGTTATAGTGCCAGGTGTCCTCCGGCTTCATCCATGGTTAAGAGTCAGCTTCTGAACAGTTTGACACTTCCCTGAGTCACCAGTCCAGCCTCACTTCACAATCGTTAAACCAGACAATTTAACTGACCCATTTTTGTTTGTGTTTGGAAAGAGTTAACAAGCTGATGCTCCCAACCAATGAATTACGTCCCAAAAGAGATAAAACTGATATATCTATTGCGGAAGGGAACATTCTGCTTTAGTTATACATTGTGTAGATAGGTCAGACCTGGGACAGGCACATGGTAAAACTGTTCTTAAACAGTTTCCATTTTAACAGTGTGACAGAGCGAGGGGCCCCTGGCATAACGCTACGGAATCTGATGGCGCTATAGAAATAAAATAATAATAGTAACCACTACAATGGGCTGTATTGGTTCTAGTGCTTAGAATTCCCTTTATCCGAACAAGCAGCAATTATGAGGTTTATGCCAATAAAAAAAAAACAAAAAAACGTTGTAAACATAAAGCCCATCTCTACAAATGTAACTGTGTTTTACTGCTAAAAGTTCCACGGCCATTTCTGCTGATAATGAAAAGTGTGTTCACCTCACACCTTATGTACTTTAAATAAATTATTTAAAAGTAAAACTTTAAAACCTTTACAGTAGGAAAAATAAATATCCCATGAAGGATTTCATGTTGTCGTGAGATTGACCAAGCGGAACATTTTCCCTTTGCGGCTGTCTCAAGCATTTAGACAGTATCTTTACACACACACAATATATATATATATATATATATATATATACACATACACACACACAGTCCAGGATTTGTGTATTTCTCTTAATTCCAATGGAGATTCTGACAAAACCTGGACTGTTTGTGGGGCTTGAGGACTGGTTTTGGGAAACACTGAATTAGACATTCCACTGCTTACAATATCATTTAGCAGATATTACTCCCACCATCCTAAACCCCCAACCAGGTATTAACTCCTTAAGGATGGCAGGCGTGCTATGCCATCCTTGGGGACCCGGCTCTAAATGCCGGCAGGCGGCATAGCATGTCCACGCTGTCCTTCCCACTTGCCTGCGATCGCATGGGGGGGGAAGAGACTTACCTGACATCCCAGGGAGTCCCCCTGGGCCATGTGATCGCGAGGTCCTTGTGAGGACCTTACAATCACATGGACGGAATAGCCGTCCATAGCAGTGCCAGAAGGGGGAGTGCCTGGAATGACAGGTAGTCCCCTTGCTGCCTGCAGAAAAGTTTAATAAAGTTTTAAAACAGTGTAAAATAAAATAAATACTTAGATCATTAATATATAGACACACACACAGTGTCTAAGTGTATTTTAATATTAATATATAGTCTCACACAATATTCTAAAATAAATATATAAATACGTTAAAAATGAAAAAGATGAAATACTGCGGTTCCAACTGAGCCAAGACCACGCAACCTTCATGGCAGCAGTTCGCAACAGACCTCCTCTCACGTTTAAGGAACACAGCCTTACTTTTTTCGTAGATCTATTGAAAGCCACCTTGGACGGGCGACGGTCCATGAGACCACTGACCCAGGAACTCACTAACCACAAGGTGCCATATAAATGGAGCACTCCGCAATGACTGCTCATTTCCAGGGCTACGGGAACGCTACGTGTCTGTGATGCCTCAGAGTGCGCTGACATCCTGCAACAACTGGGCCTAACTAATAACGTCACCAGGCAGTCTATCATGGCGCCTGCAACAGCATCCAACGCCTGGGACCCTGATAGGATCACACAGTTTATGCCGGGACCAGGCAAGGAGAAGTCTCAGCAACATCAGTGCCATGACTTGCAGATCCTGCTATACACAATACCCATGTTTTGCATGTTGCACAAGTTATATCATTTAGCTTCGTAACTTATAGTATTTTAAGTCAGGGCTTGACAAATTTGTTTGGAATCTATGAGCCAGCTAAAAAAGTTCGGAGCCAGGTTTTTTTTTTTTTAAGGGGCACTATAGTCACCAGAACCACTACAGCTTAATGTAGTGGTTCTGGTGCCTATAAGCCTGTCCCTGTAGTGTTTTCAATGTAAATGCTGCATTTTCACTCAGACGGCCACTAGAGAGTACTGTGTCAGTGCTCTGCATGGACGCACTGAATGTTATCCATACAGAACATGCGCTATATCCTCCCAATGCTTTCCTATGGGAAAGCATTGTCTTAGCTGAGATCAAAAAGATCGATGAACTCTGCAATGGAGGCGGGACAAGCCACAGCAAAACCTGGACATCGTGGGGGGAAAAGGGGTGAGTAAAAACACCAATCGTGATCGCAGGTACCTAAACAGACATACACGCACACACTGACAGAGGCATAGGCAGGAAGGCACGCACACACACACACACACAGAGGCATAGGCAGGCAGGCAGGCATGCACACACACACACACACACACACACACACACTGAGAGGCATAGGCAGCCAGGCGCACACACACACACATACATACACTCTCTCAAATACAAATTTACATTAAAAAAAAAAATTATTATTCCACCCAGCCTCCCTACCTTTTGGGAGTGTTGAGTGGACTTTCCCTGGGGTCTAGTGGGGCTGCTCTCTCTTCCTGTGTGAGAGAGAGCAGTAATCTACCACGCAGCTCCTCTCTGCTCCCTATGATGCCAGGGCCGGAATGACATCATATTCCGGCTCCCGGCATCATTAAACAGTGCGAGGGAGCAGAGAGGAGCCGCTGGAAGATCACTGCTCCATGCTGCCCCAGCCGACCCCCTGGATGCTCCACTCAGCCGGCCGCCTCCATGATGCCCACGGCGGCTGGCTGCAACGCTCACTTAGCTGGCCTCCATGCTCCCGCGGGTGGATGGCCGGCTCCATTATTTGCTTGTTTAGATAAAGAGTTGACAAATCCCAAATATTTTAGTCGCTATGGCGACCTGGCGCCTGGGATTTGTCAAGCCCTGCTTTAACTGTTCCTCCTTACACCCACGGAGTGCACTATACACACACCGCATACACTATACACACACAAACACACACACCGCATACACTATACACACACAAACTTTACACACACAAACAAAAAATACAATGTGTGCTGGCACTCAATTATGTCTAGGTGCAAGTATTCGAGGTTAACCCCAAAACAACCTCCTAATCACAATCATAAATAAATAAATTTGAATACCGCACTCTAATCATAGAGTGCGGTATTCAAATTTATTTATTTATACACACACAAACACTGCATCCACTATACACACACACACACACACACATGGCATCCACTATACACACACACACGGCATCCACTGCATCCACTATACACACACACACGGCATCCACTGCATCCACTATACACACACGGCATCCACTATATGCACACTGCACAAACACACACTGCACAAACACACACTGCATCCACTATACACACACTACACAAATACACACTGCATCCACTATACACACAAATACACACTGCATCCACTATACACACAAATACACACTGCATCCACTATACACACAAATACACACTGCATCCACTATACACACAAATACACACTGCATCCACACTGCATCCACTACACACACAAATACACACTGCATCCACTACACACACACATTCTTGAAAACATAAAAAATGATGACTGGCATGTATAGTTTGTGCATTGACCTTAAAAAAAAAAAAAAAAACAATTTGCAAAAAATAAATAATAAACATGTTCAGTTAACAGTAGATTTGGCAAGAAATAGTTTACTTTGTCAAAATGGTAAATGTACTGAATATCTGTATCAGAAAGTTATCGGCTCTCGGCCCGAAAGTTCACAGATTATCAGTATCAGCTCTAAAAAAAAAATCAATATCGGCCAACCCCTAATACGTAGCCCCATGCCACCCTATAAACCCATTACTATTCCACAACTTCCTAGGGCATGTGAAGCACACTAATCGCAGTACTAAACCTAGTTCAATTAACTGCATCAAGCTCCAATGTCCCACTATTTAAGGCTTCTTATCGTTATGAATGATGCTGCACGGTTACCACTGGGTATTACCACTTAGTTGGCCTGCAGTATTGACCATCTTGTTTACTTACCTGTGCAAATGGGGTCAAAGTATTGACAACGATGTTCTCTCTTGTCCCACATTTTAAACCTGTGTTTCCAATTGTAGTTTCGTTTCTCATTTTTCAAATCTATTTAGCCTGCTAATCTATGCAGTATATTCTTTATTTTCAAAGAATTGAAATTTGTGCTCAAACTCTTAGCCATGCATATGTACATGTTCTTGCTACGATCCAGATGCTACGTTGTTTCACCATTTACAACAGTTAAATGCCATTAATAAAAAATAAATAAAAATGTTTTTTTTAAAAGTAAATTGTGAGCTGCCCAAACATTCAAGGCCAGAAAAAAACAACCATGAATTTACAGTATGAAAATCAAAATACTGCTGGTATCCATGATTTTGCTTCTCAATAGGGGCACCTTTAAATGTTCCACTACTGAAGTCACTGGAGTCAGTAGATCCCAGAGTATTTCTCCTGCCTTTTGTACTGTTTTAGCAATGTTCCAGTCATATGTAACTACTATGGAAAATAAAAACATAAAAAGGGTCAGTTATAAGACAAAAGCACTTCAGGTCTGTTAAACTAAGGATGTCCCAAAAGGAAATGCTGACTTGCTGAGATTTACATTTTTTGGAATCAACTAAAGCATTGTTTTTAAGTGGATATTTCAATTGCCATTCAGTCATTCTGTGATATATGTGAGGCTTTATTCACCAAACATGGAATTGTTGAGAAGTGAAAAAATCGTAGCAAAATCTAGGTCAAAATAGACCACTTGGAAGAATTCTCCAACAGGTTAAATTATGGCCTAGACTGTGCTGTTTGGCATTTAATTTAAAGTATTGGTTCTCGGTCTACTGACTAGACTTCATACATACACAATTCAATCCCTTTACAGAACTGAACATTAGCCTTTTCCCTGCAAGGAGGTGAACAACATGTCAAGAATGGACATCTAAAATGGCTGATATCAAATACATTTTAAAAACTGCACTGGCAACAGTAGCAACAAACACAACTTGGCTTTAGTTTTGTACCTAAATTTGCTTATAACTAATTACACACACCCATTACCAGTGCTCTCGTAGTTATTTTGCGCAGTGTAAATTAGTAACAAGTCCCATTCCATTTAGTCGGCCTATCTTTCAAAACGTGTATTAATAGACACGTCCATCGCCCAGTCTTTAAACACACCAATCATAATCGTTCGATATGTCCCCGTACCTTAAATCTCACCTCTGGCTCCTATCTACGGTCTCCTATTTTGTCAGATGCCCTTTACATACTGCATATACTACTAACAGCTATATTGTCAGCCCCACCACCGTAGTCTCTCCTTACCGGTCATCTAACGCCATCTATTTTGCTCACTATGCATGTCTTGATCTTGTTAGAAATCGATAGCTTCCATTATAATTTTCCCTATTGTCAGAATTTGTGTTTCAATGCGTTTGTAACGTGTACAAGGCGATTTACTGTATTTATTATTCAATCAAGATACTTCCCCGTGGCAAAGCTTTACAAAAAGCTTCAAACAAACAAATACCACGATTCCTAGAAAACTGCAGAAAGTCCGCAAAATACCAATTAATTCAAAGCTGGACTTATTAAAATGAGCCCTGCTGCCACTGTTTATTATGTTCTTTTCTTTCGTGTAAAGTGATCTCTTCGGCCAGTCGACTTGAACAAAACTTGGACTCCCACCTGATCCTGAGCAGCAGCTTTTAGGTTTCCTTTCAAGTTTTCGGTCTCATTTTAGCAGTTTCTTGGAATTATAATTATTTATTTTTTTTAAAGCAAAAACATGTAGTGAAAATCTGGTTAAATTAGATATTTCTTCCAATAATTTTCCATTGCTGATGCCAAACTGCAATTTCTAAATGTCTCTTAAAGGCACCCTAGCTGTTTTAGGTGATGTCTCACTCCATGTAGACGTAGTGTTCCCCAACCCAGTCCAAGGGACCACCAACAATCCAGGATCTATGTATTCCCCTGTTTTATTCCAATGGAGACACCGACAATACCCAGACTGTTGGTGGTCCATGAGGACTGAGTTGCGGAACACTGATGTAGAGAACTAGCTCAAAGCTAGATAAATCGACGAGGTCAGGTTGCCATAGGGAAATAGAAAGTGGACCCACAACACAGAATCTCTTTCCCTTTTCCAGCCAATTTGCTTTAAAAAAATGGGATTTCAGTAAGGCTTTTTTAGACAAGACAGCTTCATGGATTTCACTTTCATTCCCATGCAGCATCAATACTCAGCATTGGGAAGAATACACACACTCTAAATGGATGCTGCATGAGAGCAAAGGAAGCCCCAACGAAGTCTTTCCAACCGGAGCATAGACAACCTATGCTATATCAGACAACGGGAACTATCATCCATTATCCTGTCCTCACCCCCAACAGCTGCAAGTGTGCAGTTTCTGGGTGTACACCCATATGCCTGCAGGAACAGTATGTGTGAGAGAAATATAGTATAGTTCATTTGGTGCGGTGGAGATGGGTTAAGGTACAAATGAAAGTGCGCTTAAAATGACACTAAAGTCACCAAAACAATTGAGCTTAGTGACGTTTTTGTGTAAAGTTCATGCCTTGAGCTGAAGGGAGCTGCTGGGAAGGTAAGTAAGAGTGTGCTGGACCCCCCAGGGAATGCCATTCCCACTACCCTCTCCCCCCTATGCCAGGTAACAAGCAGGGAGGGGGGACTAAAACAAAATGTAAAATATATAAATAAAACACACACTGCACACACTGCATCCACTACAAACACATATTCTTGAAAACAAAAAATTCTGACTGGCATGTATATTTTGTGCATTTACTTTAATTTACAAAAAAAAGATTTGCAAAAAATAAATAATAAACATGTTCAATTAACAGTAGATTTGTGTAGAAATAGTTTTTTTTTTGTTTTTTTTAAATGGTAAATGTACAGAATATCGTTATCGGGTATCGGCCTGAACATTCACAGATTATCGGTATCGGCTCTAAAAAAATAATATCGGTCGATCCCTATTCATAGTTCACTCAACCTGCAGTAAACTGGATGATGAAAAGTATTGCAAGCTCCTCCAAACCAGGAAGAGAGGTTCCATCAATCAGGAATGTCACATTCTAGTTCAAATCTCTCAACAATAGGATGTATGGACGCATGTGGGCAGGCCAGGAGGGCTATATATAGTGGACCCGCCTGTAAAAGGAGCATGTCAGCCCTCTTCAGTCCTGGCTGACTAGGCTCCTGACAGAGTCTGGCATGCAATGCAAACCAACAATGCCTATGAATATTTGCAAACACCTCATCAGTTGTGCCCAGGCAATATAGCTTTTTGAACTTGCCTCAGTCACACACACAATCCTTTATTATTGCTAAAAATAAAAGACTATGTACAATATAGTCTTGTGTACATTTGTAATGAATACTGGATATGTAATACACCTTTTCAGTATATCTCCCGGTTTACCTTTGCTATAGGGAGTGGGGTGGTGGTGAAAGGAGAAGCCATTTTTAAGGCACCCTTGGTTTAAAGAACCTCTCATCTGCTAAAAAATCTATCCTCTTTATCTGTGCAATATTAAGGTCTAAAAGTTTTATAGAGTGCTATTTTTGAGATGCCAAATTGAGCACACATATTGCATGACCTAATATGGCCTTTCTTGTTGGGGAGGAGGCTACTCCCCAGTAACAAGTTTGTCCCTGAGCATAGTGGAACACATTTAGTCCCTGACCAGTGAGGATCATCTCCCCTCCAGATTCAAGGCTTCTCATTATCATGCATGAGCCTGTATTTTGGCCTACAATACCACTACCTACCAATATATTGTAGAAGGTTGATACTGAAATATCATGCCCAATTTATCGCATTGATCTAGATACTAAAGGGATTTTTCAATAAACCAGACATTTTCCCTGCTGCCCCTACATGCCAGCTTCAACATCCAGGGTGCACAAAGGCAAACCCAGTGACATTTGGTACAGCTTATCAGCTGAAGCACACCACAGTCATCTTCCTTCCAAATCGAAGGAGACATATTCTCATACGTGACCAGTAAAGGAGACTACTATTGGGCAGGATAAACAAACAGCTACTATACTTCAAACAAGGCTTTTTGGCATTTGGGAAATCAGCACTACTATGCTTGCAGGATAGCCAGTCAAATTTAGTTATGCAATATCTACCATAGGACAATAGTTACACTTTGGGGACCCACAATGCAGCCAAACCAATAGCAGTAGGACAGATGCCTCGGAGATTGCAAAGATCAGCCTACTGCATTAATCAGTGTACTATCAGACAGGGGATAGGCTAAACTGAAAAGTAAGCTCCTCAACTGAATACTTTCAGGATTCACTCAATGCCTGTGTTTAAGTTGATACTGCTATTTTGATGTCACTAACGAGTCTTTCATGTTTGCTTTTCGAATATGCTGAATGTTGACTAGTAGATATGCTTCTAAAGTAATTTAACTCTACAGGAAGTGTTGCATTTATCGTTCATATATTGATAAATTGTTTAGATGTCTTTAATGCTAATTTGATTTCTTACAGTACGCAGTCCTCTTACTAGTATATTTGTTTACATGGAGATTTATCTAAATAAGTAAATGTTGCACATATAGTTGGCATGATTCGAATTCTTGAGACATGAGACTCTTGGGCACATTTGTTTTTATTATTTTATGTCATTTTTGGAATTTTCTACTTTTCGGTGCCTCCTCACCAACAGGATGGAGTTTATGCACAGACATTACGGATAGATTAGCATGCGAGGATAGGTCACTGGATATTTGCAACGCAGGCACCACTGAGGTTTGTCACCTCTAGATCGGACTGTAAAACATCTGGACACCTGCTAACATTATGATGTAGCCTTTGATTTTGCCCACGGGACCACTTTATGAGATGTGGGTGCTCCTGTCCGGTAGCTGGAGAATCTCCCATTTCTAATACAGTGGGGCTTGCTAACCTTATTGTTGAGCTCTGAGGGAGAATCGTAGTGGCTGTAGTCTATTATTCTAAGTATTCCTGTCTCACTCATGCTAAGGTCACTGCACTTCCTGCTTGCTTAATCATTATAATAGGTATAAGTTATACACTCTTGGCTAAGTCAAATGCTTGCTAATTTAATAAGCCTTATTTTATTGGTTTGCATACTGCATCTCTGTATTGTAACATTTTATTTCCCGCCTCACTCCAACGGCTGTGTTGATAGCTTACACCATCCTCTTTTCTGTACCTCTATTTCCACAACTTATTTTTTTGAAAACAAAACTTTATCTAATATGACACTACCAGACACGGAAGGAAAAAATAAAAATAAAAAAAAAAACATGTGCATGCTACCATCTTACTGAAGATTTACAGCTGCCAACAACTGAGACAATGAGCACACAGGGCTAGCCAGATACACATTACTGATGTACAAGCCAATAAAAGAAAAACAAGGCTTTAAAAATCTGTTTTATATATATGATATAAGGAAAGGATAGAGCAAAAGGTGAGAGGAGGAATAAGGAAAAAAAATAGGGTTGGGTGGGAGAGCACATCAAGTCAATGATAGACACCCTTAAAAGATAAACATAACAGATTTATCATCTCACTTACCCTGTAGAGATTTTCCCAGGCCCTGTCCGAGTTTCCATCCATGCTTCTGTAGTAGGCGGTGTCCGATGTTATCCTGATAGGAAAGGGGAGGAAAGGAAGGGGGGAAAAAAAAACACGAAAATATTCCGGTAATAAAATTTGCCCCCTCCCTCCTGCCATTTGTTCCTCACCAGTGTCTGAATTTGTGAGAGAGGACAATCATGCAAAATTATAATAATAATAATTACAAGGACTGGCTAAATAATAAGAAGCTAGTGTATGGTGACAAACTGTGCTCCCTCAAATACATATTAAAAACAATGGAGATGGAATTAGATCTCAAATTGTATTCTGATTGAGTGCAAGTATGTTGCAGCAATAAAATAATAAAAACGTGGAGTGTGGTGGAGACATACGTGGTTAGGAGTTCAACATTAAACTGGAAAACACAGAAAGTAGGACTGAGAGCAAACAACTATCCGTCACCTAGACCACAAACAAGGTGCCATCCCAGTGAGAACCAAAGAATGCTGGTGTCTGTGAATCCCTGGGGTGAAGAGCAGCAATTTTGAAATACAACTTCAGTATAACTCATGCTGAGGATTTGTGATTATTTGAGAATACAATGACCAAAAACAACCTATAAATAAATTGCATGTAACTCATCTTTGCAGAAGGAACAAACAAGTTGCCTTTCCAGTCATTGCAAATAAGAACACAAATTTTTGTTACCCGAATGCAAATTAAAGGTGTTTTTTGGGAAGGTCATGTTTACAACATTTTGCATCAACAAATGCCATTTTCTTTAGTTCTGTGTGGGATGGCACACTACAGCTCCCAAAGAAACTGCAAATGACACAATTGTGGGGAACCAGAAGCCAAAACAGAAGCAAGACCCTAAAAAAGTACTGATTGGCTTCTAACTAGCCTTCTTAATTTCGGCCTTTTTTGTTGTTGTTGTTCTCTCATACGCAACTAAAGCATGCAGCAAAATGTTATTTTTAGGAAGAAACCATCAATGTTAGTGTTAATTGGTAAGAGTAATCATGAGGAGGGAAAAAAAAAAAAACAAAAAAAAAAACTGAGAGGTACGCCTGTGCGTTCAGGGTTATGAATTGGAGGTGATGAATGATTGCATAGCCTCTAATGCAAAGGGTGAGACGGACTAGGACAGGGTTAACAGCCAAAGATATTTAAGTGCATGAGACAAAGCAAAAATAGAAAGAGGCAAGAGGGTATAGGCCCCAGCAGAGTGTCTCATCTCTTCTACAATGGATTTCAGTTTAACTGCTACACCTCCATAACAGAAGTCAAGACGACCTTGGACTAACCTTTAAAATGGAATAAAGGAGTAGGATTTGGAGTATCTAGTTAACTTGGTTTGTAAAACGAGGCAAGCTTACACTGTTCTCCTTTCCCATATGGGGAAGTATTGGAACAGAGCAATCACAAAAAGATAAGCAACTTGATACTATATTTGGGATTCATTTCTAGAACAAGGCTTTTGTCTAAACAATGAGGATAAATAGAAGATTGTATAGACAGAAATATAAAGTGTTTTGTTGCAATTCACTGCAGAGACCTGGTTTCCTCACTTGCAGCAAACACGTCGCCTAGTTCACCATTTATAGTTCAAGGCCCCTGCGCAATGATTGCAGATAACAAGAGAAACGTTTGTTTGGTTTTTTTTATGTAGGGGAGGCACTAGAAGTCACCAAGAATGGGAAGAGAACAATAGTGTGAGATGGAGGGAGAGAAACAGGGAGGGGGGGGCGTACGGGTGACTCATACTGCAGGGTGGAATGGAGCAGGACATAGAAGGGAGTCTTGTTCTGCATTCCTATGCACAGAAGCGCATTGCAGACTACCAGCAAAGGGGAGGTGTAAAATCAGTGCCCACTAATGACAGACAGAGTTTTAGCTTGGCTGTTTAAACCTGCTAAGACAAATCCTTAACATTTACTATTTACCCTAGGCAACCCCATGAAAATTGAAGATAAAATAAAACTTTGTCCCCTAAAAGAACTGATTTCATACAATACCTCTCTCTGAACAAGAGCAAGGGAGATGTAGAGGTTACAAACAAATTATAGTAATGGCTGCCAGAAACACTCAGTTAAAGTGTCAATAGGCCAAGAAATATCTAAAATTATATACTCGTGGGGCTATGAAAAACCTGAAGAGGGCCACTTACTAACCAGGACATTTAAATCATCAAAGGAAGTTCACTTGGGAAAACTGTTTCACTGCTTTAGTCATTACTTTAGTCAGTTAAACAACTTCTTACACAATGTTACGTGGGGAGGATCCACGGCTAACCCAAACAAATGTCAAGTCAGTCAGACAAGGACAACTGCTGTTCTTTACCAATTCTTTCTTGCAGAGAATAACTTTGTAACGCTTGTTACACTAAAGAGTTATTCCCTTGATTGCATAAGTTATAGAGCATAGAGCTCCCCTCCATCCTCCGTCACTGTATTCCAGTACACAATGGCGTATAACTGCATCAAAAACGCACTGCGCTTAAAGATTGCATTCTCGTACCTATAGCATTACAATAGGAAGTATCACTGGTCAGGGTTTACATGATACGATAACCCTCACATACCAAGATGAGAAACGGTTTTTGGAAGGGTACGCTTGCCATTACACACATACCCCTAAACAGTGCTTTTAAGTTTACTATTGTCATTTTATTTATTTATTTTTAATCTTTTTTGTGTGCATTCTAATACACTATTTAAAGCATTAACATTTGAAAATGACCCCCAAATTTTTTTCACATACCGCTTAGTTTTTATAACCAACTGATCAGTAGGAGAAAATGTAATAGTGTTTACACTACTGTCTGTAAGCAATAAACGACTGCCTAGCACAGAAGCACTTGAACCCTAATGGATTATGAAAAGCAAGTGTTGATCTTAGAAAATGACCTTGACAAGGTGAACTTGAAATTGAGGAGGAGGAACAGGCCAACTAATCAGAAGAGGGGAGGCACTCTGCTGCGGTGAGGGCGGAGGGGAAAGGTCACTACGCGTGATCTACCAGAGAAGTTAAATTAAAAACAAAAAAATAAACAGACAGACAAAATGGGGGAAGCATTGCTAGTTTCCAAAAGATAATACAAGTGGAGTGGAAATACGAACCTGGCTTTAAAAACAGGGCTGTCAAAAGGAACAATTAAATGTAACACAGTAAGAAACACAGGTTTTGTCTTTCGAAATGTATTTTTGTTGCATAGTCACCAAGCCACTGCTTGCAAGTTAAGGCTTTACATAGAGGTGAAAGCGAGGTGGTGAAATGGGAAGGCTCAGACAGGAAAAAAATAAATAAAAATGAAAATATATACACACAAGAGGTGTTGACAAGGAACTGGGGGTGACAGGAAAATGTTTTACAGGTAGAGGGGTATGGAAGAAGTTAAAAGATAAAGATAGAGGGGAATCTATGAGGTGGGGAGGAGGGAGTGATGAATGCACTGGGCAGACTTCTGCGTCACTTACATAGCCAGTCAAGAGCAATGCTTGCTGGGAAAAAATGTCATCCAGCCACCAACCATCCCTCTGTAACATGTCAAAAAGACCTTTCATCCTCTGCATACACACACACAGTTTGTTTAATATAAAATAGCACAGAATATAGTGATGAGATTACCAATCCACTCATCACCTCTGAGATATGAAGTATCGATTTCAGTAAAAGTAAGAATATGTGGTGGTACGGTGAGAGCCAAGCAGAGGGGTTATGGGATAAGTATGAAAAAGAAAAGGAGTACGGATAATTAAAGTAAAGGCTTTGCGGCACTGAAAGATAATGGTTAGAGTTCAATGTTTATAGCAATGTGTGATATGCGCATGCGTCCTTTGAGAGTAATGACAGCAAGTGATGATGTACACAGTTGGAGTAATTTACTAAGGCTCGAATCTGCCCTGTAGGAATAGAATAGAATCTGGGGGCCACATTGGATAAAAGTTACTTGGGGGCCACACTGGATGAAAGGAAGTGTGGGAAAATAGTTTTATATTACAGGTTTATTCTATAAACAATGCACTGTAAAACGTTAGCAACAATGACGACTTGAATTTTTCCCCCAAACACATCCAAAACAAAGCTTGGATATAAACCACTATGTGATGCCATTTTATGCTGGCTGCTGCTTCAGTTAGGGTCTGGCTGTAAATAAAGCCCAAATGTGTGTAATGTATGTGTCGAAGGTCTGTAAATTAGCAGTGTGCTTTCCAAAAGATCAGAAGCAGGATGGCTTACATGGGCTCAATTCACCAATCCACGACTTTGGACCTACTTACCAAGTTCTAAATGACTGCACTGGGGACGTGTGTGTTCATCTGCACTGTGTGCATGCAACAGATCACTCTGCTAAGTTACTATAGGTATGTAACTTCCCAAACTTAAAGGGATCTATAGGTACCCAGACAACTTAAAGGACCACTATAGTGCCAGGAAAACAAACTTTTTCCTGGCACTATAGTGCCCTGAGGGTGCCCCCACCCTCAGGGCCCCCCTGCCGTCCGGCTCTGGGGAGAGGAAAGGGGTAAAAACTTACCTTTTTCCAGCGCTGGGCGGGGAGCTCTCCTCCTGCTCTCCTCCTCCGATCCTCCCCGTCGGCTGAATGCGCACGCGTGGCAAGAGCTGCGCGCGCATTCAGCCGGTCGCATAGGAAAGCATTCATAATGCTTTCCTATGGACGCTTGCATGCTCTCACTGTGATTTTCACAGTGAGAATCACGCAAGCGCCTCTAGCGGCTGTCAATGAGACAGCCGCTAGAGGCTTTGGGGGAAGGCTTAACCCATTGATAAACATAGCAGTTTCTCTGAAACTGCTATGTTTATAAAACAAAGGGTTAACCCTAGAAGGACCTGGCACCCAGACCACTTCATTAAGCTAGAGTGGTCCTTTAATGGAGATGAAGTGATCTGGGTGCCACGTCCCTGTAGTTTTAACCCTGCAAATTAAATGCTCGAAAACCAATGTTAACAGTGCAGGATTTAAATACCTATAGTAGTTGTCACACTGACAGCCACTAGAGGCATTTTCATTCAAATAGCTCAGCGAAACCTGGCTATATCAATCAGTTGGTGCAGCTCATTTGCACTAGCCTTCCAATGCTTTCCAAAGGAAAGGAATTGGGTTTGCGGAGGGTTCAGTAGAGAGCATTGCTGCATGGAACGAACGATAAGCAAATTAACTTTTCTGATGTTACTCGTTCCTTCATTGCAGTACCGTAAATGTTATAACAGAGCAGCAGTTTGTAAAACGCTTACTTACCACCGCTGCACAGATGGATGCTCCATGCTTTGATTAGTCAATATACATATTTTGCCCGACCTTGGCAGGCAGAGTATGTAACGTAATATAGAATATTAAGCTTTAATGGAACATTCCAGGCACATAACGTCAATTAAATTAAGTAATGGTGCCAGGAGGCCCACGGCACACTCTTACCATATGGGTTTAAACGGTTATCGAACGGTTTAAGCCCAAAGTTGCCTCCAGCACCGATCTCCACTCCCCTACAGATGGCATCCGTCTTCTGAAATTTCCGTTTCAAGAGCGCGGAATACTGCCAGGCAGTAGAGCCGCTGACAGAGTGGTCAGCTAACGCTCTCAGCCAGTAATTCCCCATTCACAAAACTTGCTTGGAAAGAAAAATACCTTTGTTGCACACATTTGTACATACAGAAAAAGTAATTTCACAGAAGAAGGGGCAAGCTATTGGTGTTCGGGACAGCCTTGGATATTATGAAATCATTCCAAAATGTGTTGACCGAAAACCAGACAATGAGCTGTAATTATTATGATGCATTTAATGCCGCTTTAATTTTGAGTGTGTACGATGATGTAAATGAACATGGGTAAAAAGAGGGCCTCTGTTTAAGATGCTGTGAAGGTTGTAAATGGGTAAGAGTTCTCCAGTAGTTGAACAAAAAGCACAGAAAATGAGGTGTCAGCAGTGGACATGCAATGGAATTACTAGAAAGAAATGCAGTGCAGGACACAAGTTTAGAGGCAGCTATGTACATGTAATTTGGAGTGAATGCAAGATAGAATAATCAGACCAAAATTTAATAATTTCAGACAAAATACAGCTTTGCCACTGACCAAAGACCCTACTTTGTTTTCTATATGTTCTTTTCTGCACACAACAGGCTCTTGATTGGGCAAGAAGTTCAGCTGAGTTTGCTCCATAAAAAAAACAAAAAACTGAATGCTCACTGTAGGATCCTCATGCACAATTGCAGGGGCAGAAAGACCCAGACCAGCCCCTCAAGAATCAAATCCTGCAGCTCACTACAAAAGTAAACACCACCAAGGCCGGACAAAGAGGAAGTAACAGATAATGGCTATAATGACTGGCGCCCTAACCTGGCACCACTAACCCCAGTCACTGCTAGCTGGCCACTACAGAAGAGTGTCTAGCAGTGGAATGGGGTTAGATCACTGACCATGCAGGCACCAGATAGTCTTAGAGTCTACAGATTCTGCCAGCAAAAACAATGCTGACCTTCACCCACTCTGCCGAGTAGGCAATATAAAAGTCTCTGCAATGTCACACACTACAAAAGATTATCTGAAGACCCTGGTGTAGGGAGTGCATTTACCAGATTGTGTCTAGCTATCTGTCAAATCTACTACGGCAGTCAGTTATGATAAGAGTATTTCACGAACATAGCCATGTTAGATATTAAGAAGTAGCATGATGTTTGGGACTTGCTAAATGTTTTGTGTCACTCCACCACAGCAACACCTTATATCATTTTGGGGGTAATAAAGGTAGTATGAGAGTTGAGGAATTTATACAAAAATCAAATCAACTCTGGTAAAGCATTCAAAACCTGGAGATAATGGCAGAACCTGTAGACTCCTAGAACAGTACAGCCATAGCCCAGAACCACATTCTTCCCCGCAGGTATTGCTGCAGAGGCCAGCTAACACCCCTGAAGGTGGGCCCTCACCTAGAGATCATAGTCTACCTGCTGAAGAGACCCATAGCAGCAGCATTCAGCATGTGCCAGAGTATAGAAGTCCCAGCTTGCTCAAAAAGACAAAATACACAGACTAAGTGATGGAATAGCAGTGATCAACATAGTCATAGCTTTGCACACTGCAGTATGGGAAGAAACTACAGTTGTACCTGGATGGCTTTATAGATGAATGTCTGTCATACATGCTATGCCAGAATGGGTTGTAATATTACTATAGTGCACATGAATAATGTAAGAGGCCGTCTCCCTCTTCCTCTCCCCCCCCCCAAAAAAAAAAATTACAAAAAATAGACGCTGTCAAGAACACAGATCCCAAAAGCTTAACACACTATATCTCAACAGCTTATGGACATCAGGTAACTCAGTTCAATCTGATACACGAGTGTCTACCTACAGCAAACCAGTATACAAAGAGTTTAATAAGTCTAAGCAGTCTTGTCTCCCTTACTACAAGGCTCTAACTGCAGAGGCACCATAAGCAATGTTGATAAAGTAAAAAAAGAAGAAAAAAGTTGTTTTCAATATAGATGTACATTGTATTAAAAACTACCTTTATCAGACCTCAGTATTTGTAAAGGGCCTTTTCTTCTGCCTTATATTTATGCATTGACTGACCCTTGGGGGAAATATGTTGCCATGAAGCAACTGGTTAGCAGCGGTGTTTTCCTCTGCAGCATTACCTTGTGCAAACTTCGCTAGCAACATGCCAGCACATAGCATAGAGGGAGGCTAAATATATACACACAGATATATACGTGGTGTTCACTTGACCAGAACAAAGGAATGGAACAGGGAAAGAGGTAGAAGTACTAGGTTATTACCACCATCCCTACTGGAGAGAGCAGCAAAAAAATAATAACTTTGTTACGCCCTCCAGTAGTCATAGGGTTCAATGAACAGAAAGAGTAAAAATAAATTTAAAAAAGTATATATATGTATATATATATATAAAAAAAAAAAAAGAAAAAGAAAATAATAAAAAAAAAGCAGAGCGTGCAATACAAACCAGGTCATGAGCAGCTTAGCTAATATTGGGATCAACTGCTGTGGAAGAGAAAGGCCAGATAGGGCCAAAGTTGTGTAAAGTTCTGTATACCATCTACACACGGACACACACACACACACACAAACACAACACCGACCTATTCTTTGGCAGAGTGCATCATATTGGTCTTTAGTGGTTAATACAGAGCCTTAGGACACCTCCAGGCAATGCTCAAATCTGATATCTACTATTACGGAAATTCTAATGCTACTAAACGGAGTGTAAATGTAGAATCCATGAAATGCATGGGAATTTATATTTCTGAAGTTGAAAAGCGATGTGGGACATCAACCTTAAGATGATTCCGTAAAAACAATGATAGCATAAGCAAAACCTGGATCAATGGTCATTCATTATAGACTTTTTATTTGGAATTTATTTTTGAGGAGCAACAATTATTCAAGGTTGCAAGGTTTCCAGGTGTATTTGTGTATCTTCTGTAAAAAAAGATACCATAGCCTATAAATGTTTGAGGAGTGAACTTTGGAAAGCCTGAAAAGTCCTATGTAGCATGTAGAAAATTGAAGTTGTAGGCCCCAGCTAAAGATCAACATGCACTTCACTGGTTTTACCAACTAAAAATAAAATAAAGTGAAACTCACAAAGCTTGACTAAATAAAGCCATCTATTCACTAAACTGTTTTAATAACAGGTCTTATAATATACTATCCCCTGCATTAAGTCAGGTGTTAAGCTAATCCTTGGCTGACGAGAAGCCTGAGAAGTACAGCAGAGATTTTTCAAGAATTCTCTACCCCTGACCAGCATTGTTTGCTCTGGGGTAGTCTTACACACCTCAAAATTCTAATCTTCTGGGGCCAGATAAAGGAGGAAATATGGGAATATGAAAGCCACCCCAGAATGCATCCTCTTACCGATTCAATTGGCTTGTCCAGGGAAGCTTGTTCAATCTCCAGATGTCCATCTTCATACTGGTCAAAATGGTTGCCCTGAGAAGGGAGAGACAAAGTGTGAGAAAGGCACTTCGAATTGTGAGGTGGAAGCAATAAAGTCCCTCCCAACATCGTGGGGAGGCACCAGTGAGCGCTACATCTTTCCACTATCCTACGAGTGCATTTGGATTCCTTTTGCTGCATTTTAATAAACCGTATTACACTATTACTGTATCTTATTTTATAGGAAAATCTGCAACCCCAATTTCTTGGTATATAATCCCAGTGTCCTTAGCCTAACGGAACACAAATTCTTGGTGGCTAACATGAATTCTGTGCATACTGAATCTCCTAAGTCAGCACCCCCCACTGCCCATGTTCTCCCCTCAGCCTGCTTTTCTTGACATCTCTCCCCCTCCAGTGAGTGATGTCAGCTGAGTAGGTTCCAGCTAAAGGGAAAACTTGCCCTCAGAGCTGGTACAGGGGAAGGTTTTAACTTGTTTTTTTTTCTCTTTTAATTAGAGGGGAGGGCAGGATTGTGCAGCACAGAGATGGTTTCTGGAACAAACAAAAAAAGTGTTCCTTTCCAATATTAGACTTGCATAATACAAAACCAGAGTAAACTCACATTCCTCTCACACAGAGATCATTGCAATTGACAATCTAAGTAACAATTCCATGCCTCTCATAAAGAAGCATTGGAGAGACACTCCACTCAGCCAATCCAATGCTTTTCATACAGAAGACTTGAATATAATGCTGTTTTATAAGAAGCAATGCCTTCCTCTTTGAATGAGCATTCCAAGAGGACAAGACAAACTCTCCTGGCTGTCTGACAGATAGGAGGTTGCAACTACAGACTTTTCTAAAAGTGCAGATTTCTCTTAAAATAGGCACTTTTCTAAAATAAGAGAACTGCAGCTAATCCTCTGGCAAGTAGCGCAGGACCCTTAAGTACCAAATGGATTCTATAGTGTTAGAAGAAACACAAAGTTTTTTTAACCCTATAGCATCTTTAGATCTCTCTGGGTTACAAGGGAAATTAATTCAAGAGACCAGGTGACATTTCTCTATGGTGACTAGGTATCCTGTATTTGTCAAGCCCTGATTTAGCACTCACACATATATTCTGTAGCCATGCAACATGCAGGGATATTGTGCACAGATATGTACTAATTCAGATTAAGTTATCAAAGTAGAATTCTGCCTAGCATTGAAGAGGACACAACAGCTTGAATTATTTTTTACTTAAACCAGCATACTACTACCCTCCCCCCCCCTCACATAACCACCCACACAGCAATTAAAATGAGAAGATGCCTATTTTTCCAAAGACACTCTGACGAGCTCTGAACACATTACTAGGTTTACAATCTGGATTTTGTTTGGGAAGTCAGAAACAGAACCATCTGGGATATGTCAGATGCTGCAATGCCATTGCTATTCGCATTATCGAGTCCCTAGGATTGTTGTTGTTTTAAACAAGTGTGGGGGCAGCATGAACAAGGGTGGAGTGATCAATATACACTGTGTTGATACAAACAGAAAATATAATTTGTTTTTAGTTACTAGAGTCTTGCAATCTGAGTAAATGTCAACATATTCTTGAGCAGGTGAGAAAAAAAAAAAAAACACCACATATACACACAAACAATTAAAGGGATGCTAAACGCCATAACAACTGCACAGGTTATGGTGCAAAAAGGTATCCCACCTTCCTATACAATTGCTTATACCTCTTTATACCCTATATCATCCTCCCCCCCCCCCCCCACCACCAAGAAGCAAGCCCTCCACTGAGCAGGTATGTGCAGCAGCATGCTGAAAACAACTCTTACTGCTCATTTTAACCCCAAGTGATCAGAGAGCCCAGTTTTGTATTTCTTCCGGAAACAAAGAAATGTAATGTGTTTCCAGTAGAGAATTAAAGCACCTGGCCACCAAGTACAATACAATACATAAATTCCATTGGGAACCAAGGAAAGGGGGTATTAAAGGACCACTAATCTCATCTCAATAAAGTGGTCTCGGTGCAATGGTTCTACAGGTTTAACCACTCAGGGTAAAACAATGCAGTTTTGAATAAAGGACAATGTGTACCATGAAGAGTCAAACACACCTCTAGTAGCTGTCATACTGACATCCATAAGAGGGGCTTCCGTTGCAAATGGCCAAGTAAAACTCAGTTACGTGACATTGCAGCACACAGGAAAGCATTAGTTTCAATGGTTTTTTTTTATGTGCGGGCGAAGCTCACTATGTATGCACAACAGGTCCCCCAATGCTCCCCTTTTGTGGATTGGACCAATGACGAGTAAGAAACACCTCCTTGATAACATTAAGGGAGAAGGCAGCATTAGGAATACAGGTTCGCATTCCTAACTATTCCTTTAATGATGCATCTCAATTACGTTATTATGGTGCACTGCAGTCCTGGCACTGTCTTACCTTAAAGGGTTAAACAGTTCACAAAATGGTTTAATCCCAAAGTTGTCCAAACCCATATCAACTCCGCCCTCTCTCCAGCCTCAGTCCCAACTTCAATGAGGTTGCCTCGGACTGGGCACCGGTAGTAGGCAGAGTGTCAGCTGACACTCTCAGCCAATCCTTACCTTCCGATTGAAAAAACTGCATGAAGGAAAAAAAAAAAGATAGTATGTACCTTTCTTATGTAGTTTATAAAGCCAGAGGAAAGAGTACTGAAGAAAGGCTGACGGGGGGTTTATTAATTACAATTCATGTATCTAAACCCTTTCAGGTTATAGTAATAAGGTAGCATAATATGATGTAAATATTTATTTTCACATAAACGCAGTTTATCTTTGTAAGCTTTGTGATGTATTATTTTGTGGCATATAGCCATAAGACTGTCGCACCTAAGGCTTTTAACACTGCTCTAGAATTACAACATAGGCACAACAGGCAAATTTTTGCTTTAAATACTATTCCAGGGGAGGGAGAAAATGATTTATGGCAGAGCATGCTAATGCTGCAGTGCAGAGATTCCATTGGGATCCAGATGTTATGAGGATCTGCTTGAAAGCAGAATTGCATCATGGGGTCTCAAAGCTCTTCCATCGTTATTAAAGCATTCTCCATTCTCCATTCTCACCCCCTTCCACCACTCGCCTGTGCATCATACATTACAATACCACAGTAAGAAAACAGACTTTTTTTTGTAAACCTAAATGTGGATGCATATCCAGCCATGCCGTATTAAAAACAGCACTGATAAAAAAGGAGGGGCAGTTAATAATGACAATGATTCCTTAGAAAAACACAAAAATAAAAAGTGATCCATTAAATGTGGTTTGTATAATATATAAAATAAAAGAATTTAAAAAAAATTGTTATATGGCATGCGATAAATCTGTGTTTACATCAAGATGGGTGGAAGCAGAATTACGTCTCGTGTTCCAATTAAATCCATCTTTGCACTATAAGCAGAACCTGCAAAACCGATCTAGTTCTGTCCTTCCTCATTCCACTGAAAACAGATACATGTAGATTTCAAGAACAGATGCCCATTTTCTGAGCAATCACTGTGCCTCCCCCCAGGCTTCACAATGAACTCTCTGTCACTAGATTGTTTCATCAACAACAGGCATATCAGAAATTTCAGAAGCAGACAGGGGGAGGGGAATTGTGGACACAAAATGTCCTGGTAATGCCACTTTATAGGTCACTGGTGAGAACGCCTCTGAATGCCAAATGTCAAGGCCAAGTGTCAAAATAAAAATATAGAAAAGGTTATTGGAATCCAATAACATCTTAAACTAGGTGCTACGTATTTAAAGTGGCAGGTCTCCATGACAACACAAAAATGAGACCCATCACCAAGAATTTAGTCTCCCTGCTTTCCAGAAGAGGCCAAAAGATTTCCCCGAAGACCAAACCCATAGACGGCAAAGAATCAAGCTCTCTACACTCTGGCGGCAGACAGCAAATGGTCTCATTTGCACTCCCCCCATTTTAGACATGAAGTGACAAGAGAATACAATATGACATCACGTCTTCCATGACTGAATACAGCAATGAGTGAGGCAAGTTATGTATGAACACATGCATGTGTTACTAATGAAGCACTGTGTGCTCTTTTGTAGCTACTTGTGTATAAGAGAATGTGAAGCTAATTAGATAAGGCTGAGAGGATAGTTAGTACAGCATGTAAGAGACTGAGTGGGGTTAATTAGGATGTGAGAATTTGGGAATGAGCAATCAGTATATGTGCAAATTTTTACATTTTATCTAGTTCCTAATTATTGTCCCTTCCTAGACATGAAAGGAATCTTTATTTTTATCTTTTTATTTTAGCCCGGTACATATGATTAAATAATCATACACACACAAAGAAACAGTTCATCTTTTAGAAGAAAATAATACTAAAAAAATACCACACTAGGAGTCGAATTAGTCCAGGGGGGAGAAAAAAACAACTCATCACATTTATATTTATTTTTAGTGCCTGGAATGATCACTAGAAGGCCCTTTAAACACTTGCTATGTTATGTCAAATGTGCAGGTTCCATGGAAAAGCATCACAGAAGCAGTGAAAGAAACAGTTCAATGACCTTATACATGAATCCAATGACCAAATATGGATACAGCATTTTGGAACAGGGGACAGGCTAGATTAACACAATCCGGGTTTACATAAAAATACTTAGTTAAAAACAAACCCTAGATGGGGTTACATTACACATCTACCTTAAAGGGACACTATAGTCACCAAAACAATTTTAGTTTAATGGAGCAGTTTTGGTGTATCCCCTGCAGCCTCACTGCTCAATTATCTGCCATTTAGGAGTTAAATCACTTTGTTTATGAACCCTAGTCACACCTCCCTGCATGTGACTTGCACAGCCTCCCTAAACACTTCCTGTAAAGAGTCATCTACAGTTTATCCTTTCTTTATTGCAAGTTCTGTTTAATTTAGATTTTCTAATCCCCTATGTTAATAGCTTGCTAGACCCTGCAAGAGCCTCCTGTATGTGATTAAAGTTACATTTACAGAGAAAGAGATACAATTGTTTAAGGTAAATTACAGCGGATTGAAAGTGAAACCAGTTTTGTTTTTTTTCATGCAGGCTGCCTCAATCAGAGTGGGGGGAAGTGTGGCAAGAGCTGCATAAACAGAAACAAAGCAATTTAACTCACAAATGGCAGGGAATTGAACAGTAAAACCCGAGAGGCATGATCTACACACAAAAACTGCTTCATTACACTAAAGCTGTTTAGGTAACTATAGTGTTCCTTTAACCCCTTCCCGACCGCAGACGGAAATTTTCCGTCAACCTTGTCCTTCACTTAAGGACCGCTGACGGAAAATTTTTGTCATTTACTAAAGTTAACCCCAGATCTCCGCGATCGCGGGGTTAACGGTGCTCCGGTCTGCCTCTGTATTCGTGGCAGACCGCAAGCACCGGATCGCGCTGCCCCAGCACCTGCTCTGACAGGCTGCCAGAGCAAGCACACGTGCTCAGTATACTCACCTTCCGCCTCCCTGCACTTCCGGGTTCTGTGTGAAGTGCAGGGAGACGGATCAGTGCTGCTGATCTTCTCCCTTTGTAAAAAAAAAAAATAAGAAGTTAAAGATCAATTGGCAGGGTATACATTTTAATGTCATCTGATTTTTTTTTTTAACCCTTGAGGATTATTTTTTTAACCCTCAGGGGTTAAATGTATTTTATTAATTTAAATATTTAAAAACTATATATTTAGCTAGCTGGGATGGGGTGGAAGTTAGTGGGGAATTGAGGAATTTGGTGTTAGGCTAACTAGGGGTAAATGTTAAAAAAGTTTTAAAATAAGCTTTAAAAAAGGTTAAAAAAAAAAGTTTTAGTAACGTTTAAGTAAAAATAAAATAAAAAATACCACCCTCCTTTACCCAGTCTAAATAAAAATTAACCCCTTCCCTGCCAGTTGATCACTGCCTACAGTGATCAAAATACAGATCACAGTATTATACTGTAATCTAATTTATTTTAACCCTTGAGGATTAACTTTTATTTATTTTTTAACCCTCAGGGGTTCAATTTATTTAAATTATATATATATTGCTAATTGGAGTGGTTGGGAGTTATGGGAAAAGGGGGAATTTACTGTTAGTGCTGCTTACTGCTTGTTAGGGGTTAACAGTAAAAGAAAAGTTTAGAAAAAAATTAAAAGTGTAAAAAAGTTAAGAAAGTATAAAACATTTAATAAGTAAAAAAAAAGTTTAAAAATGGGTTTTACAAAGACAAAAATTTACAAAGTAAAAAAAAAATGCTCATTACCACTACACTTGGTACAAGCTAGCGGAAAAATGATCCCACGCTAAGGTTCAAAATATGCCTTTTGAATTACCCTGGGATGTCTTCTTTAAGAAATGGTATGCCTTTATGGTGTAATTGGATTATATAGCCTTGTAAAATACTCTAAAATGGGACATGGACACAGCGTAAAAATTCAAAATTTTGGGAAAAACTGGAATGGCTGTGTCTCAAATGTGCCCATTCAATGTCCACATATACCTGGCAAAGGTACATACGGGGGTATTGCTGTACTCAGCCGACATAGCTGAGCAACATATGAAGTATTATACAGTCGTAGAACACATAAAAATATACTGTGCAAACTCACTTTGTGTGTCAAAAAGGCAAAAAAACGCTAATTACCACTACACTTGGTACAAGGTAGCGGAAAAATGATCCCACGCTAAGGTTCAAAATATGCCTTTTGAAATAACCTGGGATGTGTTCTTTAAGAAATGGTATGCCTTTATGGTGTAGTTGTAATATATAGCCTGCTCAAGTGCTCCAAAGTGGGACACGGACGCATCAAAACCCTCCATGAAAATTCACACTTAAAAACCTTAACTTGTCATGTCTCTTTTGCAGCAGTGTAACTTCACAAAATAGTGTCTAGGTCATACATTGGCCATATTGTTTTACCGCATACTTTGGCATATATTGGTGAAAAAATGGGGGCATGTTAAGGCACAATATGCACCATATGAGATACCCTGGAGTGTCTACTTTTACAAATGGTAGGCCTTTGTGGGGATTTTTTGAACAGTCAAACTGCTATAATACCCCAAATTGAAGCATAGGCCCATTAAATCTGCCTCTCAAAATTCTACTGTAAATGTTGAAACAGACAGGTCTCCTATATGGCACTGTAGCTTCACGAAATAGTGCCAAAGACATACAATGGTGGTATCGTTGTACTCAGCAGAAGTAACTGAACATAAAATAAAACTTTGTACAGGAATAGCACACACACCAACTTTACAAAATACACATGAGAAGTTCTTTGTTATAAGTTTGTGTGCCAAAAACCCCCAAAAAACAAAATTGTACTGAAATGGCTAAGTAGAAAGTGTCAAAACAACCTTAGGACAATAGCCTGTCATGTCTACTTTATATAAATATATACTTTTGTGTGGCAATTTTGTTTTCCTTTATGGCTATTAAGCTTACAAGACAAACATACCAAATTCTAAAATCGCTCCACATAAAAAGTTTATTTTACTCCTTGTGCTTTGTGACCTGTAACTACCAAAAAAAAAAAAACCTTAAAATTCCAGACACATTATATATTCTGTAAATCAGAACAACTAAATGAATTTATTTTTAAATAATTACTTTCTTTAACCTGCACTAATTAGGCACACATTATTATTGCAAAAACTGTACAAAAAACACAACATTTCTCTTTTTTTTGCATTTTTCTGTATTTTTTTTTTAATAATAAGCATATATATATATATATTGCATCAAATTAAAGCCCTTTCTGTCCTTTAAAAAACAGTATATAATATGTGTCGGTGCAATAAACGAGAGATGCAAATTGCAGTTGAACTCATACAGCAAGAAAATGCAAAAATTGCTTGGGTCATTAAGCGTAAGACAAGCTTCTGAAGCTGTGTCCTTAAGGGGTTAACAATACAAACACTACAGATTTAAGCAAAACTATGGTGATTTGGGGGAGAGGAGGAGGGGGAGACATATGTCAGTCATTGATAAAATGATTTAGAGATAAATAGAATATTGTGGAAAGCACTGTTCTTAGAAACATTTTTGACCTACAGCTGCTAGTGTTTGGCCAGGGCTGACAGCAGTGCTATGGTATGATATGTGGACATCAGTCTTAAGAAGAACTGAAGCCTCAAACTATAACAGAGTGAGATATCCACATAGAGAACAGCTGAGGACTTACAGCATGTTCTCCAAATAGAATCAACAGCAGCACCACTAGCCAAGAGAAACAAAACACAGGAAGCCAGCCATTCCAGGAACCAGGCAAAATATAACAACCTTTTCAAGAGGACAGACATTTTAGTAGTTCAATATCTGGAATTAATATTCTCTTTTAATGTGTTGCAGTTTTCATGAGGGTGGTATATGTAGGTGGGCGATTGCAAGATTTTTCAAGATTCTTATTTAGGGTGTAACCATTTAGAAAACATTTCATAATCGCATGTCTTGGCAGCCAGGAAAAAAAATACCAAAACAACACACTTTCAAAAGTTAAACTCCCCAGGGCAGTGGTTCATAATGGCATACTCAATTCATTATTTGGTTTGGCAGCACTTCTACCCTCTGTATTGTACCTTGAGCTATTAAAACGCCAGGCAGACTAGCTTGTATACCAGTTACTGGTAGGTTTGAAACAGTATAAATCTAACTGAAGCCTCATATACTTTAATTCAGTCGGGTGATTTAAAAAAAACCATTATAGGCACCCAGAACACTTCAGCTATTTAAGTAGTCTTGATGCAGTATTTCAGGTCCCTTAAAGGAATCCTGTAGTGCCAGAAAAACAAAGCCATTTTCCTGGCACTATGGCGTTAATGTGCGTGTGTCTCGCGGGGACTTACCTGAATCCAGGCGCTGATGTCCCTCGGCGCTAGGTCAGTCGGCATGGAGACCCAATGGCCGCGTGCATTAGAACTCCCCATAGGAAAACATTATTCAATGCTTTCCTATGGGGAAAATCTGACGCTGGGGGTCCGGGAAGATGGCCAGCATCAGATAACAGAACAAAGGTCCGTTTGGATTCCAGACAGCTACAGAGGGCAGACTTAGAGCTGCAATGTAAACATTTATCTGGAACTGCAATGTTTTAAATTGCAGCTCTAAGTGCAAAAGGGTCACAGCACCTAGACTACTTCAATTAGCTAAAGTGGTCTGGGTGCCAACTGTGTCCCTCTAACCCTGCAAAGGTAATTATTGCAGTTTTTAATAAACTGCAAACATTGCATTTGAGGATTAACTCCACCTTTAGTGGCTGTCTACCAGACAGCCACTATAGGGACTTCTGGGTCATTAGGTGGCTTTTGGTTGCATGAGGACATTCAGCGTTATGTAAAATCGGTGGAAGTACAAATCGCTGTGCATGCACATTACGACTGCCCCACCGCCTGACGTAGACAGGAGAGGAGCGGTATCAGATAAGTGACAGAAGGGGGCACTATAGGGAGCTACACGTGTATTCCTGACCCAATAGTGCAAAGCCCACCATTTTCAGCTCTCCGTGCGTCCGCCGCCGCTGAGCCCACCCCCTAGTGACATCAGCATTGCCGGTTTTAAGCCAATCCAATGCTTTGGCTAAAAATCGGCAAGAGGGCGGGACCAAACACCGTTTGGCCAATTACTACCTCCTCATAGAGATGCATTGAATCAATGCATCTCTATGAGGAAAATTCAGCACCCCCATGCAGAGTGTGGAGACGCTTAATGGCACTGCTGCCTGCTGTACCGCACTGAGCCAGGAAGCACCTGCAGTGGCCATCTGAGGAGTGGCCACTTGGAGGTGTCCCTACGGGCAATCTAAACACTGCCTTTTAGCATGAAAATGACTGCATATAATAATTATACTCACCAGAACAGTGTCCCTTTAAAAGACTTGCCAACACAACAACACAGGCAGAACTTCAAAAGACTTTAAATGGCAAGCACTATATTTGAACCTGGAACTTTCCAAAACCTCACAAAATTTTTACATGTGGGGATCTGTTGTGTACTTGTTAGACGTCTCTGAACAAAAATAGGAGTTTTTTAAAGCAGTAAAAAGTATAATGATGAGGATATCATTGGTGAAAGTGCAATTTCTGTGTGGCAAATGAAAAAATACAAATATGAACACTAACTTTGGCCAGGGTTTTTGACTTAACGGCTGCAAAATAAAAAAAAATAAAATGAAAGACTGGGTATGCCCCATTTTAAATAACCTGGGTTATCTATTTTTGCAAATGGTATGCCAAGATGGGGAGAATTCCAATTCCTGGGCTGCCATACTGTCTCAAAGGCAAAATAGGCTCAGCAAACCAATCCAGCCAATTTCAATGTGTAAAAATTGAAATGAGCAAGTACTTTATTTGACCCTGTATCTTTCCAAAATACCATGAAGCTGGTACATGGGACATCACAACAAATAAATATGTATTTCATTGTAGTAAAAGCTAACAGTATTATGACATTCACAGTTAAAATGCCTTGGAAAATAATTTCCAACACCTCTAGTTGTTCTCTGGTGGAAAGCCACTAGAAGCAGCATTAACCCTGCCGTTTCAGGGCTAAGGGGACAGGGACAATGAGATAAAGTGCTCTGGGTGCATAGTGTTCCTTTAATGTTCAGCATCGTCACGTTTAAGGCACAGCATGAGGACGCTGAACACAGTCAATGTTCAGTAAATGATGCTAACAAAAATGTGTTTGTTTGTTTTTTTGCAAATGATGCAAATATTTACTACTCATGGCCCTTCTTTTTGTACCTTATAAATGTACAATGGATCTCTTATTAGCACGTTATCCTTGGTGATGACATCACCAGGGTAACCATGCGGCTAGCACTAACTACACTTATATGCCCTCAGTAAATGCAAAATGATTGTACCAAACTGCCACTTCCATTTCACATTAGATTATTATTGTCCTTAACACTAAATGGACAATATAGGCACCCAGACCACTTCAGCTCATTGAAGTGGTATTGGTACAGTGCCCCTATTGCACTTAGTGCTGCAATGTAAAACATAGTTTTAGAGAAACAGCAATGTTTACATTGAAGCACTAAGACAGCCTCTAGTGGCTGTACCAGATAATGTTACCAGACTTATGTTCCGCTGACGCTGGACATCCTCACACTCCGACATTCAGCCTCAGCAATGTCACCACAGGAAAGCATTGATTCAATACTTTCTTTATGGGGAGGCCTAACGCACATGCGGCACTTGACTTGCATTATCGAATGACGACGGAAGGGGGTGAGCCGTGACGCAGAGCCGAGGGACTTCGGCGCTGGGTTCAGGGTTTTTAACCCTCTAGTCACTGTGGCAGAGGAGAGTGGGGGAAGCGTGGGAGGTGGGGCTAGGGAGGGAGAGGCAGAGGGAGCTATAGTGCCAGGAATACAACTTTGTATTCCTGTCTCTTATAGTATCCCTTTAATTAACTCATAAGTGGCAGAGGCTGCTCCAAGAATCTGTGCATTTGGTGTTCATGGTAATCTGCCAACAAGGCACTGAAACCTTCTTCGTAAGAAACACTCACATCCGTTTTAAATTATATTTTAAAGCAACTGAGGTAGGAGATCCTCCAGACTGATTGACAGCCAAGAGGGTACTACAAAAAGGAATTTTAAAAGTGCTGATTTCTCTTGATACCTGAACTTTTAGAATATAAGGCCAGGGGGACATGCAGTTAACCCCTAAAGCACTTCCACAAGTTATATAGTGTCCCTTTTCATAGGCTGTGTGTGTCTACTTGTACTATATTTGTACTGGGCTGCATCTCCCAAGTGCATACTCCACATGTATACAGCTTTGCTTCACAGAAAGACTATTTGATATAGTGACACAGTTTCCCTATCCTGACCAGCAAACATTATGTCTTACCCTACCTAACCCTAGCCATTTCTAATAATTAAAGGAACACTATAGGGTCAGGAATGCAAACATGTATTCTTGACCCTATATTGTTTAACCCACCATTTAGTGTTTGCATGAAAAAAGCCTGAAGGGAACTATTATACTCACCAGAACAACTACATTAAGCTGTAGTTGTTCTGGTGACTAAAGTGTCCCTTTAACCATTTAGTAAATAGAAACCCAGGCTGAGTTATCACCGAGAACCTACTGGGATTGCCTCTAAGTGTTATATTTCAGCCTGTGCACCTCACTAGTAAGAAAGCCAACAAAAGTACACTGACAGCTGGTCATGGAATGCATTGCTGCGACCCAGCATCAACTGTCAATCACAGCACGGTACCAAAATGATACCTGTCACATTGGTCCTACGGTGTGTGAAAGCGGATTTTTGCCATCACCAGCAAGACACACCCTCTGGCTGTCTGAAGCGTCCCCTGGGAACTAAACTATGTACATTGGCTTGAGTTTGCTTTCAGTGTTTTTTTGCATATTTGTTTTGTAATCTTCAATATTAAAGAGTAACTGTCACTTCTTCAATTTTAGCACAACCTAACAGTTAACTAAAAGAGCTGTAAGAGTGGTCCATCTCAATTCCTCCCCCCTCCCCCACTTTCCATGATGTGTGTATATGCCACATGTACAATAGGGAAGGCTCCCTCTCTTCTCCCATGTACAGTCTGAAGCGTTCCTGATAGTAAAATACAGCAAATTGGGATCTGTATAAACAGATAGCATACAGCATGGATGCAATTATATGTGATGACTGGGTTTGCTTTTTAGGGATTAACTACTTATCATATAAACCTTTGTGTTTGGCAGGGGATTATGGGATAAGATCAGTCCCTACACACCAGAATGAAAGACACTATAAAAAGTAATTTTGTGGTCAGTACTTTTGAACACTATCTATTTGATGCATTAAAAAAGATTGCCATTTTTTAAGTAAGCTAAACCAAAGCTTCAATCAAGTAACTTACACTAATTTCCAACACAATATTATAAATGAAAATTAAAGGATCACTATAGTGTCAGGAAAACAAAGCGGTTTTCCTGACACTATAGTGCCCTAAGGGTGCCCCCACCCTCAGGGTCCCCCTCCCGTGGCGCTGAAGGGGTTAAAACCCCTTCTTCAGTTACTTACTTTAATCCAGCACTGGGCTCCCTCGGCGCTGGTGACCTCTCCTCCTCCGCCGTCAGAGGAGCCAAATGCCAAATGCCACACGCGCATTCAAAGTGTCCACAGGAAAGGATTTCTCAATGCTTTCCTATGGACGCTCTGCGTGATGGAGGCATAATATGCCTCCAGCGTCACAGATGCGCCTCTAGTGGCTGTCCAGAAGACAGCCACTTGAGGCTGGCTTAACCCCAAATGTAAACATTGCATCTGAAGGGTTAAAATCTGAGGGACCTGGCACCCAGACCACTTCATTGCGCTGAAGTGGTCTGGGTGACTATAGTGTCCCTTTAAACTATCATTTAAAGCAGTCAGAAGTACCAATAGTGTTACAAACACCTTAAGCTATGCAGTATCAGAATGCTAATCTTGTTCTTGGAGTTTTTAAAGAGATTTACAAAGCAATTATAGGGGGTTTGCCTTATCCATGATGTTTTTCCTGGACATACATCATTTATACATATTGCCCTGTGGAATGTACATTTCAAATTTTAGGAAGGAAATCATGTCATTAATGGGCATATGTATTCTACATAGAACAGGGCAACACTTTACATAGTGAATATGGCAACCTCAGCTGATAGAATATATAAACAATAAGCATGGCTATTGAATGGATAGAATGCACTACTGGCTACGCAAGAGGTTTTAGAAACTGCCAAATTAGGAGAAAGTTAATATTGTTAAGGCAGAATTGGAACTTCCACATCAGCAACAGGCACGCAAGGGTGCCAAGTCATGGGTGCCTTAAGGCCCCCAGTTTTAATCAAACTGACTCACAAGCAGCGCATGGTAACCCCAGCCTAATAGCACCAAAACCACAGCAACAGCATATCTTTGTTATGGTGCTTAGATTACCCATTTATCAATAGCACATCAATGTTTAAAGATATGTAGAGGCACCAATAATGGAGACATGAATATAACCTGGCTGCAATGTGCTGTAGCGGACATTTCCAGAAGTACTCTGGGTAGAGTTGTGGATACATATGATAAGAGATCAATGATACAGCCATCAACACAAGTGACATTTTACTGAATGAATGCAATCATTCTACATGTTTTCTCACAACACTTTCACTATGCCATACAAATAAGCAAGCACACTGCGTTATAAATATTCATATATCATAGTGTGACTACTTTTTGTGAGATGGCATCAGGAGAACACAGGCACCATAACCATCACAGCACATTGCAGAGGTTTTGGTGTTTAGAGTGACCCTTTAACTTTGAAAAGAGGTTAATATTTTTCATCTAGTATAGAGTTAAGTAGTGACTGGATTAATAAGCACTGCTGACTGTTGTTGACATAGCAGTCTACATAAATGAATGTGACCTTCAATGTGTCCCTATTTTTTTGCAGTTTGAATGTCTAAGAATAAATACCTACCTTTACCCAGCTGCTAATTTCCCTCGTTAAAAAAAAATAGTTCAATAGCAAACATACATTCACATATATGTACTGTGAATGTAGAGCATCTGGGAATGAACATTTCTCACATCTATTCTACAAGACAGCCATTCAGAATCTCACACAGATACCAGATATAACACTGCTGGTTAATTGTATTACTTCACATGAGCTAACCTCACCCCACCTCCATGAGATGCAGCCGGTGTGTGAATGGTACAGTTCTGTGCTTTAGAACAGCATGTTTCACATTCATGTGGATTTTATATTACATTACCAGTACAATGCAAAAATGCTCTCTAATTCTACAATCTTTTATAAACCTTTAATTCAGCTTCCAAAGAAAGAACTGACTAAAAACCCTCCAAAAATAGACTGTCCTGCGGTAGACAGCTGAAGACCCTAAGGTCTGTACTGCCTATTTGCAGGAAAAATGTAAATGAATGAATGAAAGGCCAAAATTGGCAGAACAATTCTCCAACACAATTACATCTAAATATTCAAGGACATAACCGTTAAGAATCTCCCCCCTCCCCCCGATATCTTATTTTGTACCGATTCAACGGAATACGATGGCTCTAACAGGATGGCTCATATTTTGTTCAACAGTTCTGATCAAGTGAAAATAATCAATAATTCAAATTTTAGATTTAAAAAAAAAATGGAAATAAGTCTAGTATGTTTCCTATTTAGCTATTGAGGCATAAATCATTAAGGGAAAATTCTAGGCTAAATAATGCATATAGTTAAAAGGAAACAAGCCCAATTTTCTGGCACTGTAGAATCCTACAGGGCCCCCTCCCACGATGCTGATGGGGTTAAAACCATAGACATAGAATACATAGACGCCGCACGTCTATGGCATTGAGTGCTGAGCGTCGAGGAATACGGGCGCCATCTTGGACCGGTCGCTGCTCTACTGAAGCTATTGAAGAACCCTTGGAAAGTCCATCTCACAAAAGGTAAGTGAAGGACTTGGGGCACTTATAGTCCTTAATACCCCTACCCCTAGTCCGTAATACCCCTACCCCAGCACACTATGTGTAGGGGTAGGAGTATTAAGGACTATGTGTGCTGGGGTAGGGGTATTAACACTGTAGGGTTATTAAGGACTAGGGGTAGGGTTATTAACACTGTAGGGGTAGGGGTATTAAGGACTAGGGGTATTAAGGACATGGGGTAGGGGTATTAACACTGTTAAGGACTAGGGGTAGGGGTATTAAGGACTAGGGGTAGGGTTATTAACACTGTAGGGGTAGGGGTATTAAGGACTATAAATGCTCCAAGTCCTTCACTTACCTTTTGTGAGATGGACTTTCCAAGGGTTCTTCAATAGCTTCAGTAGAGCAGCGACCGGTCCAAGATGGCGCCTGCATTCCTCGACGCTCAGCATGCAATGCGGCGTCTAGGTATTCTATGTCTATGGTTTAAACCCCTTCAGTCCCCAGAAATGAGCAAAAGCTCATGAACAAAATCACATTAGCAGCAAGGAGAGCAGTGGCAGCTGATTGGCTCAGGCAGAGGGTTCCCCCTATGGGAGGGGTAATCAACAGAATTAAAGAAGTCCAGGGTAAGGGGTACCCAAAAGACATTTCAAAGAATATGGGAACCATGGGAAAACTGCCCCCTGGTAACTTAGAGAGGGAGGAACCGTGCACCTCTCCTTCCCCCTCCCCCCCTTCTTGGCCTCGCTCCCTTTATCTTCTTCCCTTTCTGTTCTCTCCTTACGTTTCCTATTCATCTTCTTTATGTATGTCTCCACTCTCTACCCATATCTTCTGTGGTAAACTGTTAACACTTGATAAATAAAACTAAACCCGATAACCCTGCTTTAGAGATAAATAGACACCGCTTCCGGGCCCTTCAACTAGGAAAGCAAATCACCCTAGATAGAGGCAGGAGTAAGGGAATCAAAAAGTATAGAAAACACCCCAAAATGTATCTAGAGCCAGAGATGTGAGATATGCATACTTTTCTACTTTTGTTATTTGTTTATTATAAAAAAATCAACATTGACTAGGAATCATCGTCCAGATAACTAGGCATGAGTATATACCATCCTGTGGTATCACATGTAATCTATGTTATTCGAATATGATGTTAAATGGCAACAAACCAATGTACATGTTCACATTGTTCTTATCTATATGGTTTAATGTTTTGAGCATGCCAAGTCATGTCAATGCTAAATAAAGAATAAAAAAAAAAAAAAAACCCTTCAGTCACTCACCTGAATCCAGCACCGTCCATGCTCCTCCCCCGTCGACCTAATATGTGCAGTAATGCCCGCACTCACATTAGGACTTCCCCATAGGAAAGCATTATTCAATTCCAGTGACGCTGGAGGTCCTCATGCATAGCGTGAGGATGTCCAGCGTCGTTTAGACAACCAAAAGATGTCTATGCACCCGAAAATCCCTCTAGTGGCTGTCTTGTAGACAATGAGCTGAAGTGGTCTGTGTGCCTACAGTGTCCCTTTAAGTCAACCAGATTACTTCATCTCGAAAGTGGTCTGAGTGCCGTGACTGTCCATTCAACCATGCAACTTATCAGAAATTGCAGGGTAAATCCACTTGTAGTGGCGGTCTTCCTCACAACCACTAGGGGTTCTTCCACTGCTCTGATCCGAGTAAAACCTTCACATGATGCGACAGACAAAAGGGAAGTTTGGACTTGCCATGCAGGCGCATCAAGTTCCCAATGCGATTGTATGAAAAGCACTGGTCCATCACGGAGGAGGCCATGCCTCCATGATGTTGTGGGTAGCGGAGAAGTGACCAGTGCCAAGGGAGCCTTGGCGCTGGAAAAAAAAAAGAGTAATGAAAACGTTTATTAGTTTTTATTGCAAATAGGAGGGTCCAATATCTAAGGAACAGGGCTATTTGAGTGTTAGGGACACATTTCAGTATTCCTAATGCTACAGCGTTCCTTAAAGGACCACTATAGGCACCCAGACCACTTCAGCTTAATGAAGTGGTCTGGGTGCCAGGTCCTTTTAGGGTTAACCCTTTTTTTTTTTTTTTTATAAACATAGCAGTTTCAGAGAAAATCACAGTGAGAAGACGCCAGCGTCCATAGGAAGCTTTCCTATGGACTGGGTGAATGCGCGCGCATCTCCTCCCGCGCATGTGCATTCAGCCAAAGAGGAGGAGAGGAGGCAGGGAGGAGGAGGCGAGCTCCCCGCCCGGCACTGGAGAAAGAGGTACGTTTAACCCCTTCCTCCCCCCAGAACCCGGGAGGAGGGGGTCCCTGAGGGTGGGGGCACCCTCAGAGCACTATAGTGCCAGGAAAATGAGTATGTTTTCCTGGCACTATAGTGGTCCTTTAAAGGGACTCTCCAGGCAGAGTAGTTTACTCACCTGGTTCCAGCGCTGGGAGCCTCGTGAAGCCGCGCCCCCTATTTCGTCAAAATGACTAAATAAGCGGGCGTGAGCAATCAGACGCTTCCATTTGCTGACAGGCAGGAGAGAGAAGGCGCGCACACAGCGCCTTCTCTCTCCTGCACACGTCAGACGTATCTTAATACGTCTGACTTGTACAAGGCCTTTTTAGGGCCCTACATGATAGGAAGTCCCTCTGGTGGCCGCCTGAGTGACGGCCACTGGAGGTATTCCTATCAATGTAAACACTGTATTTTCTTTTAAAATACAGTGTTTACATTAGATTGCCTGCAGGGAGCTATAGATCTAACCTGAACAAATACATTAAGCTGTAGTTGTTCAGGTGACTATAGTGTAAAATATATACAACTATCTTTCTAAAGACCTTTTCCAAAACCTTAAAAGATATCAGTCACCAGCAGCATAAATTACTTCTGTAGCTTATGACAGACACGTTTTTCTATAGCAGTTACTGCTGTGCATTGCTCAATCAAATGCTTCTCATGGAGAAGCAATGAAGATGAGTGAGCAAGTACAATAAACAAGTGATTTTCCAAATTGTAATGTATTGAATTTACTTGTTCACACACATTGAATGGATTGACATCTTTCATACCTGTTCACCAGTTATAAAAGCTCCCCCCTGCTAAACTTGCAATACCTAGTCATAAATAGATGCTCCAAGTACAAGCGCAGAAACTGTTCTGTGCCTCAGAGGGGACAGTGATTTGGGTTATGTCCCAGTTTTGATTGAACACACATGAAATACACATGCAGCATTGAGAGCCTTTGGCTGCCCGCGAGTTCACATTACAGCACCTGCATGTGAATGGTTATACATTCGCTATAGCCATGTAGATCTTAGTGATGATGAATGATAAACTTGCACAAAATAGAAATGTCCACCTCAGAAACTCACTTTCAGCAAGCAAATTGACAGATGGCAGGGGCGGAGATATACTCCTGACAAAGTACTGAAATATCTCCCTAGTGACAGGCATTTTAAGAAAATACACTGCACATTAATTTTTAGCCTCAATTATGGCGGTCACATTAAATTCACTGCATTTACAGGTTTAGTTAAAGGAACACTTTATCCTTGTATAGCTATAGTATACTGGTGGCTGTTTAGGTCTCTAGTCCCACCTGCCGGGTGCAAAAATGGCTAACTTTTTCATCCCTAGCAGCGCCAGTCTCCACGGAGAAGCTCCGACTCCTTGCCTGATATTAATCTCGTCCAGTGACCCAGATATCCCCCAAACCGGTCATTTTACCCTCAATTTGACCAGCTGGGTTTATAATATATTGTTATTGGCAGTCAGGTGACTAATCCCCCAATATAGACCATTAATTATTAACATTAATCCAGCCCAGTGACCCAGATATCCCCCAAACCGGTCATTTTACCCTCACTTTGGCCAGCTGGGTTTATAATATATTGTTATTGGCAGTCAGGTGACTAATCCCCCAATATAGACCATTAATTATTAATATTAATCCAGCCCAGTGACCCAGATATCCCCCAAACCGGTCATTTTACCCTCACTTTGACCAGCTGGGTTTATAATATATTGTTATTGGCAGTCAGGTGACTAATCCCCAATATAGACCATTAATTATTAATATTAATCCAGCCCAGTGACCCAGATATCCCCCAAACTGGTCATTTTACCCTCACTTTGACCAGCTGGGTTTATAATATATTGTTATTGGCAGTCAGGTGACTAATCCCCAATATAGACCATTAATTATTAATATTAATCCAGCCCAGTGACCCAGATATCCCCCAAACCGGTCATTTTACCCTCACTTTGACCAGCTGGGTTTATAATATATTGTTATTGGCAGTCAGGTGACTAATCCCCAATATAGACCATTAATTATTAATATTAATCCAGCCCAGTGACCCAGATATCCCCCAAACCTGTCATTTTACCCTCACTTTGGCCAGCTGGGTTTATAATATATTGTTATTGGCAGACAGGTGACTAATCCCCAATATAGACCATTAATTATTAATATTAATCCAGCCCAGTGACCCAGATATCCCCCAAACCGGTCATTTTACCCTCACTTTGACCAGCTGGGTTTATAATATATTGTTATTGGCAGTCAGGTGACTAATCCCCAATATAGACCATTAATTATTAATATTAATCCAGCCCAGTGACCCAGATATCCCCCAAACCGGTCATTTTACCCTCACTTTGACCAGCTGGGTTTATAATATATTGTTATTGGCAGTCAGGTGACTAATCCCCAATATAGACCATTAATTATTAATATTAATCCAGCCCAGTGACCCAGATATCCCCCAAACCGGTCATTTTACCCTCACTTTGACCAGCTGGGTTTATAATATATTGTTATTGGCAGACAGGTGACTAATCCCCAATATAGACCATTAATTATTAATATTAATCCAGTCCAGTGACCCAGATATCCCCCAAACCGGTCATTTTACCCTCACTTTGACCAGCTGGGTTTATAATATATTGTTATTGGCAGTCAGGTGACTAATCCCCAATTTAGACCATTAATTATTAATATTAATCCCGCCCAGTGACCCAGATATCCCCCAAACCGGTCATTTTACCCTCACTTTGACCAGCTGGGTTTATAATATATTGTTATTGGCAGACAGGTGACTAACCCCAAATATAGACCATTAATTATTAATATTAATCCAGCCCAGTGACCCAGATATCCCCCAAACCGGTCATTTTACCCTCACTTTGACCAGCTGGGTTTATAATATATTGTTATTGGCAGTCAGGTGACTAATCCCCAATATAGACCATTAATTATTAATATTAATCCAGCCCAGTGACCCAGATATCCCCCAAACCGGTCATTTTACCCTCACTTTGACCAGCTGGGTTTATAATATATTGTTATTGGCAGTCAGGTGACTAATCCCCAATATAGACCATTAATTATTAATATTAATCCAGCCCAGTGACCCAGATATCCCCCAAACCTGTCATTTTACCCTCACTTTGACCAGCTGGGTTTATAATATATTGTTATTGGCAAACAGGTGACTAATCCCCAATATAGACCATTAATTATTAATATTAATCCAGCCCAGTGACCCAGATATCCCCCAAACTGGTCATTTTACCCTCACTTTGACCAGCTGGGTTTATAATATATTGTTATTGGCAGACAGGTGACTAATCCCCAATATAGACCATTAATTATTAATATTAATCCAGTCCAGTGACCCAGATATCCCCCAAACCGGTCATTTTACCCTCACTTTGACCAGCTGGGTTTATAATATATTGTTATTGGCAGTCAGGTGACTAATCCCCAATATAGACCATTAATTATTAATATTAATCCCGCCCAGTGACCCAGATATCCCCCAAACCGGTCATTTTACCCTCACTTTGACCAGCTGGGTTTATAATATATTGTTATTGGCAGACAGGTGACTAATCCCCAATATAGACCATTAATTATTAATATTAATCCAGCCCAGTGACCCAGATATCCCCCAAACCGGTCATTTTACCCTCACTTTGACCAGCTGGGTTTATAATATATTGTTATTGGCAGACAGGTGACTAATCCCCAATATAGACCATTAAATATTAATATTAATCCAGCCCAGTGACCCAGATATCCCCCAAACCGGTCATTTTACCCTCACTTTGACCAGCTGGGTTTATAATATATTGTTATTGGCAGTCAGGTGACTAATCCCCCAATATAGACCATTAATTATTAATATTAATCCAGCCCAGTGACCCAGATATCCCCCAAACCGGTCATTTTACCCTCACTTTGACCAGCTGGGTTTATAATATATTGTTATTGGCAGTCAGGTTACTAATCCCCAATATAGACCATTAATTATTAATATTAATCCAGCCCAGTGACCCAGATATCCCCCAAACCTGTCATTTTACCCTCACTTTGACCAGCTGGGTTTATAATATATTGTTATTGGCAGTCAGGTGACTAATCCCCAATATAGACCATTAATTATTAATATTAATCCAGCCCAGTGACCCAGATATCCCCCAAACTGGTCATTTTACCCTCACTTTGGCCAGCTGGGTTTATAATATATTGTTATTGGCAGTCAGGTGACTAATCCCCCAATATAGACCATTAATTATTAATATTAATCCAGCCCAGTGACCCAGATATCCCCCAAACCTGTCATTTTACCCTCACTTTGGCCAGCTGGGTTTATAATATATTGTTATTGGCAGTCAGGTGACTAATCCCCAATATAGACCATTAATTATTAATATTAATCCAGCCCAGTGACCCAGATATCCCCCAAACCGGTCATTTTACCCTCACTTTGACCAGCTGGGTTTATAATATATTGTTATTGGCAGTCAGGTGACCCCCCTAACTGCTCAAACCCGCCCCCTGACCCGCGCTAACCTGAAAGTCCCGGTCCTCGTTAAACCGGGAGAATCTGTCCGCCGCCATCTTGATGCATCTGAGGGGGAGGGCGAGCAGCGCGCACAAACGCCCCCGAGTCCCCGCCCACTCCGCGGCTCACTTGCTTACGCACGCACGCTCGCTCGCTCGTACGTACGCAGACATGCAATGTAATGCGTGCGTGCGCGCCCGCGCCCGGCGAGCACGTCTTGCGGCCGCTAAGCGCAGTGCCTCGCCCCCTGCCGGCCGCCCCGTGTACTGACAGGCTGAGCACAGTGACCCAAACAGGGTTATTATTATTATTATTATTATATTCACTAAAGTGGGGATTCTTAGGGATTTCCAAGGGGGTGTCAAGTTAATATTTTTTTTTTTTTATTTTGTGGAAAAAACAGACAAATTAAAAAAAAAAAAAAACTCTCTAAGGCAACTTTAGTTTTTTTTTTGGTTTGTTTTTTGGTTTGTTTCTTCAGTTTGCCTTTAGTGGGCTAAAATGAGCAATTTTCACTTTTGTGTCCGTCTGTGTTTATCGTGCGTTCGCCCGTAATTGTACAGTGCTGCGGAATATGTTGGTGCTTTATAAAAGACAGTAATACATTTTTTTATTTTTTTTTTATTTAAAAATCACTTTTGATTTGATAAGGTTTGTCGTGGATTTAAATTACAAAATAAAATTTGAGGTATTCTTTTAGTATTTAGATAGATCGTACAAACGGCTGAATGTCGTAAAAAGGGGTTGTCACAAAAGTGTGAATTACTGGAAATTTAAAGTGAGCTCAAAGTTGATTCAGTAAATTCCAGATTGTAACCAGAATGGCAACATTCCCAACTCACGCCATAGCCACCGCTTGACTATTAAAGTAAGGATTTCAAAAAAATAAGAAATAACCAAACCGAAAACATACTTGTGGTAGTTTTCCAATTTGACAATTTTGAACATAAAATTTGAAATTCATGTTCAAGGTTATACACTTTTTAAGACAATCGTTTCTTTAAAGGAACACTATAGTGCAGATATGCACAACTTGGCAGTAGATAAAATAGAATTAAAATAGACTAAACATCTTCGGGCCCCAGATATGTTTTTAGTGTATTACTGTTTGTCCTCTTATTTCATTGTTTTATTCCTTACTGTGTATGCTTCCCGCCTACAGCAAATCCCTTTTTTTTTTTTCATTCTTTTTCTTTTTACTGGGTATCATTTCCATTCATGGTTTTACTCCTTATTACGTATCTTTTCATTTCATTCTTTTACTGCTTACTGTTTATCTCTCCTTTCATTCTATTACCCCTCACTCTTTACCCCCTCCTTTCACTCTTTTATCCCTCACTTTCTACCTCTTCCTTTCATTCTTTTATCCCTTTCATTACTGGGTTGACTGTGTGGGTGACAGTGTCTATGTGGGTGACAGTGTGTGTTTGGGGTTGACAGTGTGTGGGTGGGCTGACGGTGTGTGTGTATGAGGTTGACTTTGTGTGGTGGGCTGACAATCTCTGTGTAAGGGTGACAGTGTGTGAGGGGGTGACAGTGTGTGAGGGGGTGACAGTGTATGGGGATGAGAGTGTGTGAGTATGACAGTGTGTGTGTGTGAGGGTGATACTGTGTGTGGAAGGTTACAGTGTGTGAGGGGTGGCAGTGTGTGGGTGACAATATGTGAGAGTGACAGCGTGTGGGGTGTAACAGTGTGTGAGGGTGACAGTGTAAGTGTGACATTGTGTGAGGGGTGAATGTGTGGGGGGGAATGTGTAAGGGTGACAGTGTGTGTGGGGGGTGACAGTGTGTGAGGGTGACAGTGTAAGTGTGACATTTTGTGAGGGGTGACTGTGTGGGGGGGCAATCTGTAAGGGGACAGTGTGTGTGGGGTGACAGTCTGTGTGTATGGAGGTTAATGTGTGTGAGGGTGACTGTGTGTGTGGAAGGTTACAGTGTATGTGGAGGTGACTGTATGTGGAGGGCTGACAGTGTATGTGTAAAGGTGACAGTGTGTGTGTGGGAGAGACAATGTGTGAGAATGACAGCGCGTGGGGGGATGACAGTGTGTGTGGAAGGTGACATTGTGTGTGTGGGGTGACAGTTTGACCAGCCTCCCCACAAAATATATTTTTTTTTAATGCCAACCAGCTCTCCGGGGCTCCTCCTCCCTGCCCTCAGATTTTTCACCGGCTGCTTGAAATTGTTTGGTGGCCAGCGGGCCTTATGTTGTGCAGATGTGCTATAGTATCAAGGAATACAAAGGTGTATTCCTGACTCTGTAGTGTAAAAAAAAATATGTTATGTTGTCGGCAACCCCTTACCCCCCGTAAATAAGTATAAAGCTTTACTTTTTTAAGCACCGCATGTTTCAACCAGCACCAGCTCAACCCCCGCTCCGCCATCCTAGCTGAGATCATCAGAATTGACAATCTCAGCTAATCCAATGATTTACCATAGGATAGCATTGGTAGTGGGCGGAGCTTGATTGCCATGCAGACCAGACATGTTCAGCAAGAGCTCCCATGTCTGGCTTTGATTCTGGGGGACTACTCCCAGGCCACTCACTCTGATTGATCTCAGCCAGTATCCCTCTTGTTCACGGGTCAATGCTGTACCTGGAGATAACTGTTAAGAGGATCTCCTACGCTGAATTGCCCAACTAGCTGCTTGCAGCCTACAAGTGGTGGAACCGAGGGGAGACGGCCGCTCTACAGGTTTCCAGGCCGAAGGTGTCCTCCGCACCTAATGTTGTCCCCCCCCTCTTTGGACCGGTGGGGGTTATCCCGGTGCCCACTGACCCACTCCATATACCCTGACCGGCTGCAAGCAGAAATCTTGGCGCAAGTCCGATCTCAGCAGCAACCTCCAAGATGGAGGCCGCGCTTTCCGAGAACAAGCACACATGGCCGGTACCAGCCCATCAGAGCGCAATGGATCTCCTCACAAAACGCATCAACACAACATTCGACCACTTTTGGGCAAAACCGGAGGCACAGCTACTGACGGAACCGGCTGGACCTAGAGAGAAGAGCGGAGAGCAGGCCCCCTCCGGGCACAATTACTATGCGTCAGTCTGTACCTGCCTTTACTGGCCTACCTAGGCTGAGAGCCCTAAGGGAAGTACTCCCTCAGCATCGTCCACAGAGGCCCAACGCCGCAGGCAGCAAAGAAACATAAGGAGCTTTTTGTGTGTGTCTGCATGCCTGTAACTGTGTGTGTGTGTGTGTGTGTGTGTGTGCGATTGCATGCCTGTAACTGTGTGTGTGTGTTACTGTCTTCCTGTAACTGTGTGTGTGTGTATGTAACTGTCTGCCTGTAACCGTGTGTATTTGTGTGTGAACTGCATGCCTGTAAAAGTGTGTTTGTGTGTGTGTGTCTGCATGCCTGTAACTGTGTGTGTGTGTGTGTGTGTGTGTTTGTCTGCCTGTAACTGATTATGTGTGTGTGTGTGATTGCATGCCTGTAACTGTGTGTGTGTGTGTGTGTAACTGTCTTCCTGTAACTGTGTGTGTGTGTGTAACTGTCTTCCTGTAACTGTGTGTGTGTGTGTGTGTGTGTGTTTGTAACTGTCTGCCTGTAACCGTGTGTATTTGTGTGTGAACTGCATGCCTGTAAAAGTGTGTTTGTGTGTGTGTGTGTGTGTGTGTGTGTGACTGTGTCTGTAAAACTGTCTGCCTGTAACTGATTATGTGTGTGTGTGTGTGTGTGATTGCATGCCTGTAACTGTGTGTGTGACTGTCTGCCTGTAACTGTGTATGTGTGTGTGTGTGACTGCATGCCTGTAACTGTGTGTGTGTGACTGCATGCCTGTAACTATGTGTCTGTCTGCCTGTAACAGTGTGTGTGTGTGTGTGTGTGTGTGTGTGTGTCTGCCTGCCTGTGACTGTGTGATGTTACCTGTAACTGTGTGTGTGACTGTAACTGTGTATGTGTGCGTGACTCTCTGCTTGTGACTGTGTGTGTGTGTGTCTGTATATGTGACTGTCTGCCTGTAACTGTGTGTGTGACTGCCTGGCTATGACTGTGTGTGACAACCTGTAACTGACTGTGTGTGTAATTGTCTGCCTATAACTGTGTGTGACTGTGTGACTGTCTACATGTGACTATGTATGTGTGACTGTCTGCCTGTGACTGTTTGATGTTGCCTATAACCGTGTGTGACTATCTGTCTCTAACTGTATGTGTGACTGTCTGCCTGTAACTGTGTGTGACTGTATGCCTGTAACTGTGTGTGTGACTGTCTGCCTGTAAATGTGTGTGTGGGGCTGCAGGGATTTTGTAGAAGGGGGCAGGGGTTTTGTATTGGGACAGGAGTCTTTATAAGGGGATTTGTGGAAGGGGGTTGCAGGGGTTTTGTAGACGGGGCAGTAGAAGATTTGTAGAAGGGGGCGGGACAGGGGTTTTGAAGGAGGGGCTGGGCACACAAGGGTTTTGTAGAAGGGGGCTGACAGCGGTTTTGCAAAGTTTCCTCCAAATTTGTTCAATACATAAAAAAAAGAAAGAAAAGGAAAACATTTAAAAAAAAAAATTTGGGTGGGGGGGTGTTAAGGGGGGGGAGGGGGTACCAAGCCCAGGATCCGCCCCGGGTGCCAAATGCTCTAGGTACGCCCCTGCCTGCACCAGAACAACTACAATAAGCTGTAGTTGTTCTGGTGACTTTAGTGTCCCTTTAATGTAGTTGTTCTGGTGAGTATAATCATTATATGTAGGCATTTTCATGCAAACACTGACTTTTCACAGAAAAAGCAGTGTTTACATTGCCCCTAGGGACACCTCCAAGTGGCCACTCCTTAGATGGCCACTGGAGGTGCTTCCTGGCTCAGTGTTGCACAGTAAGCAGCTCTGCTGTTCAGCGTCTCCATGGGGACGTTGATATTTCCTCATAGAGATGCATTGATTTAATGCATCTCTATGAGGAGGTGCTAATTCTCCGAAACGGCGCTTGGCCCCTCCCCCTTGCCGATTTTAGCCAATGGGAAAATTATAGGGTATAACCCTATGGGAAAGCATTGGATTGGCTAAAAATGGGCAATTCTGATGATGTCATAAAGTGGGTGGGGCCAGCTCCGGAGGAAATGAGGTGAGTTTTATTCCTTTTTAGGGGGGAGAGCCACCTTAATGGATGCACTATAGGGT